AAGCTTCCAGTTCGTTGGGAGGAGGGAGGTTTGTCACTGGAGGTCGGTCCTCGACGTCTCTTTCTGGGATCAGAAAGTTTTCTGGTGGGTTCTGACGGACTTGGGGATTGGCTGGAGCTTTACTCATGTTCTGAGTAGAAACCATCAAGTAATCAACAAATTAGAAAAGAAACGATGAAAATCATTCCCACAGACGGCGCCAACTGATGATTCTCGGAATTTCTCGACCCAAGCCCAACCTATAGACTATGGTAGTTTGGTTCTTGCGTTGCGATGGATCTGGGAAATTAAACGCAAAAGAACACAGAAAATAAGTGGTTCAGCTTAACCGAGGGACTAAGGCTACATCCACTGTAATGGAGGCTCTTGCTCCTGAATGCAGTGTATTGAAGTTCTATGCAACACAGTGAAATTACAAGTATTGAGCCGTTCCAGGCGAGGGTTCCTTTTTCCTCTCTGGGGATCTCTCTCTCTAGGGTTTTTTTTTCTTCCCTTCTGATAAGGCGTTGTTCCTTATATAGTGGTTGTTCCTCCGGAGATTCCTTATGACTTTTTTCGCCTTCCCGATCTTGTGGAGACCTCTTGCTGCTACCCTGCAAAAGCCTTCCATTCGCCGTAGCTACTGTGCCCACGATCTCTGGGCCCTGAGTTCCACCATCCTCTTTGTTTGGGAGGATGTTGCAGTAGCTAATTTCAGAGATGGTCCCTTGCACACGTGGAACGACAGGGTTGTTAAAGGGAGAGCAGTCTGTTTTCTTCCTAGGTCCTAGCTGGGCCGGTGTTCGATTGGGCCTAGGTTAGACGACGCTTTGTAACATGCTTCCCTTCCTTCAACTGGACCAACCTATAAGAGACCCCCGGGCTGGGGGGGGCTTTTAGTCCCCAGTTCGTCGGTGGCCCAAGCCCAAAATCTCGCACCCATCTATTGGTAATTGTTCATGTTTGAAGATAGTATGTTACTTATAAAAAATTACAAATACTTGTTCATAAATATATATAATGCATAATATAATTTGAACAATACAATAATCAAATTGATATTGTTCAACGTGTATATAAAACATATATAACCAAACTTTTATATAACGAAAGTCACGCTACAATCACTGTAACATATTAATTCAAAAATCTGAGAAAATATAATTATTATTGATCAAACATCCACAATTTTAACATTTTAATAAACTTTATCTCAAATTTCAAAAAATTACAACTATTTGTGATTCAACACGTTTCTATCTAAAGTTCATAACATTATCTCTGCATTATTTTTCCAATGTGAGTTCGCATAACTTTTGTGAGAAAAACTTCCAAAAGTTTCACGTGAATTTTCTTAAATGTAAAAAAAAATTTGTTGATAAATTAAAATCTGTTTCCATTTTAGTTCAACTTAAATATTCATAAAATTCAATCACATTTAAGTTTAAATAATAATTTATATTTTATATTTGACAGTCAAATTCAACTCAATTTAAGTCTTAATGATAATTATACCAAATCAAAAATTGATTTAAGTTCGACTTAAATAACACTTTTATTTTAAATTTATAAACTAATTTTTATCTATTCTTGTTCACAATGACACCATAAATTTTTTTAATTTAATTATTTTTATATTCTATTTCAATTTGACTTCAACTTTGAATACTCGTAAAATTCAAGCAAAGTTAAATTTAAGCAAATATATATACTTTATACTCGATAATCAAGTTTTGTTCAATTTGAATCATAATTATAATCACTTCGAATCGATAATCGAATAAAATGAAAAGATTCTTGTAATTTTTGAGCAAAAAAAAATAAATTAGAGAAGTAGTTTTGATGATTTGATCAATGATCTTAAAACAATCTTACCCTCAAAAAGTTTAAGATAAGCAATGCTAGATCTCTTAGTATATAGCTATATCACAAATTATATATATTATTCGCCTGCTATATTATTTGAATATTATAATATTTTTATTTTAATACAAAATATGATCTATATTATAGTTATTCAACTCATTTTAACCAAATAATCTGTATTTAATGTCTATTTATTGATTTAAAATTTTTAAAAATAATTATCATAATTAATAACTTAATTAATGTATAGTATGAGATAGAGATAGAGAGTTATAAGAGAGATAAAAGTCTTATAATTGTAGAATGAATAAAATTTTTGTTTAAAAAATTGGGAGAGGGAATTTTGCATTAGAAGCGTCGGATCAATAATCATAAAGTGATTTGAGTTACAAAAAGTTCAAGACAAACTTTTCTAACTATTTTATTATATAGATTTTTTTATTTTGTTTCTCCAAATTTAAAAAAGTTTAATAGTTGGGAAAACAAGAAAGTAGGATGAAAGATATTATTAGGGGTGCAACTTAAGTGAGTTGAGAGATCAACTCTAACCTAACCACAAGTATAAAATTTTTAATCCTAACCTTAATCTTAATTACACCTTAACTTGAAAATACTTAACCTTAGTATTGTCTGTGTTGTTTTGGTTATCTAATTTGGGCTCAACAAATAATAATCTTAAATTAAGTGTAAGCATTTGTTTAATGTTTACTTATTACATTGGCTTATGTGACCTACTAAAATAAAATTTATCAAGACAACTTATTAAGAGTGAAAATGTGAGCCTACTTTATATAGGAGAGAGGGGAGAGGTCATTTGAGTTATCTATCAGATGTGCGACGACAACTCTTTATCTTTCTTTTGTATTTTGTATTTATCTTAGTTGTATAAACATTTTTCACTATTTATAGTCCTCATAAATTATGTTTCACTCATCTTTTAAATAATAATTATTATAAAATATATATTTTTTTATATTAAAGGTAATTCGTGCCTGAAGACACGGTGCAATATGAATAATTTTTATGAGGAATATTGATAGCTGTTAGATGAGCTTATTTGAGACCGTTTGATGAATTTATTGAAGTTTGTTTTATTTTATATTATAGATTATTTATATAAATATGATACATTAATTCGAATTGAGTTTAGCTTAAACCCGTGAATCCAAACTCTTGCCTTAATTCAATTTGAGTTGAAATTCTTCAATCTTAATTTTAATCCTAACATTAACTATAACTCTAAAAATCTTAACTCTAACACTGTTTTTTTCAGGTTGGTCCACTCCCAGTTATTATTAGGATATGGTTCTCCTCGTCTTCTATTTGTTCTTTATGAACTTAATTCAATCATTTACGAAGACCATCATTATCCTTGAAATCATTTTCATAGATTTAGCTAGAATTTGTGGCTGTCAGAAGAAAATTACACGTGTTTAAAAAGATTAAGTGAAGTTCAACGGTTTGTCCAATAACTACCGTCTCTTATATAAATATTATTTTAAAAAATATTATAAGATATATGAGTAGATATACTTGAATAAATAAAATATGGGTAAATGACTAAATGTCATAGTCCTTAGAATGATTTGAAAAAAAACCATTGACATCCTCTGTCGGATTGTCATTTGGCACCTCCCTAAACATTCTCAAATTACTTTTGATGATTAAAGAAGAACAAGAAGGATCTATTAATTGCATTGAATTGGTCATCCTTGTTATTTATTTATTTTTTTTTCTAATAAACGAAAAGGGGGATGGTGATGTTGTACAACCTGTAGTGAGCCGGCAACCCATGTTGAACTTCACATGTTCTTCCACTCTTTATGAAGCTCAATGAAAGGACAAACACAATTGCAATTATTCAATGTTTGATTATCCCTATACGATAAAATATTAGGGAAATTTATGCCTGAAAAGTATGGTATAATATGAATGATTTTTAGTAATTGTTTGATAAATCTATTTGAGACCGTCGGATAAACTTATTAAAACTGTTTTATTTTATATTATAAAAGTTGCATGGTATAATCATAAATGGGTAATTGCTAAGAGTTTCGGCTTAAAGCAATCGCAAGTGTTTATCCTTTTAAGTACTATAAAGGGTTCGAATGCAGAACTCAATCTATCTAAGATGAAAATAAAAATGTGTATCAGTCACTTGTATTAATCGCTTTTTTCAATCCCTGTCCATGACGAAAATATTGTGCAGCATATATGGCATATTTTTGGATGTGTCAAAGGACACTAATCACATTAATGGAAATAAAATTGCTTCCATTTTATATTGAAATTATTTGAGTTAATTACTTATTTAGCCATTGAATTATTTTATTTGTGTCAATCAAATTTCTGAATTATGTTTTGTGTCGATTTAACCATTGAACTATAGAGTCTGACTCAATGTAACGCTTATGTTCAAATTTATTGTTAATTTTGATCAAAATTTTCACGTGCACATCAAGTGAGTTAGGGGTTAGAGCATTTAGGGACCACGCGTTAAAGTTAACATGAAATTTGGACAGAACAATTATATTGAATCAAATTGCATAATTTAAGAGCTAAATTAATAGAAAAATACTATAATTTAAGAGTTTAATTAACACAAATAATATAGGTCAAACCAAATAGATAATTAAGTAAAATTCAAATGTTGATAGGAAACTTTTAGTCTTTATGAAACCCATAATTTCAATTTATTGCCCAACAATCTCCTCCCAAAAAGAGAGGGAAAAGTCTCGGTGCTTGGTTGTTTGGTACCCCAAACTTTCCAAAAATTTCAAAAGGAAGATTTTACTTTTGAGAGATGACGTCATCCAATCTTCCCTAGAATAATTAAATTTAGCCGTCTATCAAAAAGATAATGCGAACGACAAACGAACAACCGAAGAGAGAGAGAGAGAGAGAGAGAGAGAGCAACGCGGGAACACTGTATTCAGCCTGTCCTCACATCACAAACCTCTATCACATTTATTGTGGATTTGTTCAAATCGTGCAGGCCTTAACGAAACAGTCTCTCTCTCTCTCTCTCTATACTGTCTATGTGAGAGTTGCCTCTTGCTCTTCTGTTCTTTGCCTTTTCTGGGTGACGAAGAAGTTCATATTTGAGTCTCCCATTCTCTCTCTCTCTCTCTCTCTGTGAGGTGGTATAGTTGAGAATGGCGTCGAGTACTACAGTGAGATCGTCACAGAGGACTGACAGACACCACATGATTCCGCCTCATTCTACTTCTACTTCGAGAAGTACAATTTGTAGCGGTGGCGGTGGCGGTGGACAACAACACTCTAATTCCTCCGTTCGCTCCAAGGTTCCTGTTTCCAGACGCTCTGTAACTCCCAATTCTCGGGCTCATACTCTTGACGACCATGACCCCGGTTCTCTCACTCTCTCTCTCTGACCTACATACACAGACACAAAGACTCTTCTTGTTTGCTGTATTTAACTATGGACTTTTTAGATTTTTGTTTTGAGATCTCTAGAAAGTGTTTTTGTATCACTCTGTCATTTTTTAAGAGGTGTTGTTCTTCAATTTTACTATTTTGAAAATTCGATTGCGGGATGTTTATATATAAACAATGAAATTAAGTGCAAAATGGGTCAACATTGAAGTCCATCCATGTGAACTAGTTTTGATACTAAACATTGGACTTGCCATTGAACTTTTCATTGTTACTTACCCGAAAAAAAGAAAGAACATGGCTCTTTTTTTTTTCCTTTACTCTGTTCAGCTTTTTATAATGTATATTTATTTTACTCTTTTTCTTAAGTAAGTAAATGGGGAGTCCAGCAACAGGGGGCCTTGGTTCTAAAAATTTATAAGAACCCTTGCTTTTAACCCAATTTCTCCAATGTGGGACTTTTTATCCTGACAAGTGACACAGACTCAGAAATTTGAATTTGATGTTAAAAAAGAGTGTTTGGGCAAAAATATGTCAGAGGTTAGATTACATACATAATTGCCCTCGGCAATATCCTTTTAATGTTTCTACTGAATTTGGGGGCAGTTAAATATGACATTATTCTTCTTTCAAAAGACTTTGACAATGAATTACATGTTCAGGCTGTTCAGCAGTGGCTAGTGTGATGTTAGGTATCAATTAGGCCATTACAACGTGGTCCTCGATTTTGTTGTAATTTCTGCACTTATGTCTAGGACTTGGGGGATTCCTTAGTTATGTATGATGTTGTTTGATATCTCCTTTTCCAAAATGCTGCCACTTGGCCGTATGAGAGCAATTTTGATACATAGGTAAGGAATACATGCATTGCTCTGGTTGCCCTTTAGCATTTGGATAAACTGTAAAGATACATGTCTTTTGCTTGTGTGACATATTTTTGAAGTCCTTAGTTTCTCATCAATGTACCTTGTAGGGTTCTTTCGCATGCTTTTCCAAACTCAGACTCAGAAAGATGTGAATGTCCTAGATATACACTTCGCAAAAAAACACAATTATGTATCTTGGTGAGCTGCTACATTTGGATATTGCATATGTAACTGCAACAATGAGAAATGCTCATACTTTGATGGAACTTAGGAGTTTGGAATATTATGGAGTATTGGTATTTGCTCTACTTATTTGGGTGACATAGTTACCCGTGTCACCTTTACGTTATCTAGTTTTTTAATTGAAGAAATTGATTAAGGAATTTATATATGAAGTCTCTCAGTTTGCTCTTTGCTACAGAACCGGGAAGAGTCAGAGTTGCTGTTAGACTTCGACCAAGAAATGCTGAGGATCTTCTTTCAGATGCTGATTTTGCTGATTGTGTTGAACTTCAGCCCGAGGTAATTGATGGATGCCACTCAGGCACATGCACATGACATGAGCATGCAAGTGCACATGTACATGCTCATTTTGTACCTTGTACAAGGTGCAGCCACCGGAACTGTAGGATTGATTAAAATGGGTTTTTCATATGCAGTTGAAGAGGCTAAAGTTGAGGAAAAACAACTGGAGTTCAGAGTCTTATAGATTTGATGAACTATTTACAGAAAGTGCTTCCCAAAAGCGCGTTTATGAAGTGGTAGCAAAACCAGTAGTTGAGGTAAGCGACCAAAGACATGAGTTATTGTTGCTTTAGGCTATGCTAATGGAAATATCAGAGCTTTGGGCCTTAAAAGCTACTATAATGGTTTTAGGTACATGAATCATAAGGGGTTAGAGTTCGGTTGATTTTGGAAATAATTGGCTGAGAGATGAATTTCTAGACAACAGGTGATTCTGGAGTTTTAAGTGTTTACACTATGGGTAAATGGGAAAGGGAATAGTCAACGGTTAATTAGGATTTGTAGGAAACAGTTTGAGGGTTCAATTAGGGGTTTTTCTGAGGTTGGAACCATAATTCACTAATGCTAATTAAATACAAGAAGAGAACCGTAAGAAGAATAAGGGATTAGCATCTAACCCTAGACGAAAGCCATATCTCCAAGCATTCTATTGAAACTGAGGTTTGTACAAGAGTCACTTGGGGTTGGTAGATTGTTGTTGTTGTTTAATTTTCTTAAAACTAAGTCTCATTGGCAAGAACTTTGACATTTTGAACTATTGTACGCCAACTATACACCTTATTTGAATATCAAACCATAAAACTTGAACCATAGTAAGAACCATGGACAATTAGAAATCTCCAAGAATACCTAGTAACAATCTGACCAGACTATAGATGATATTATCTACTTTGGGTTGCTCCTTATGGCTTCAAAATGCGTCACAATAGTTTAGAGTGAGTATCTTAATATAGAGCCTAACTACCTTCTCTAACTAGGTGATTGATTTGACATATCACCAACCCCCTCACTTTCACCTTTCCAGGGATCTCTTGGAAATTTGAAGAGATAGACTTTTGACCAGCAAACTCCACCCCTAGAGAGTCACACGTTATCGTGTGGGACTAGGAATGGCAGTGAATCGGGGGCAGGGAGTAGTCTCCACCCTGTACCCGCTTTAAAAAAATATGTCCACCCCGGTTACTCCTTCTCGCCCCATTGGTAAATTCTGATCTCCGCCTCGCCCCGCCACCCATCCCTACCTTCACTTCCGCCCCCGCCCCCGCCCCTGTCCATTACAATTATTTTTTGTAATTTTGAGAAAAAAATTGAAAAAAAAAACTACAATATACATATTAGTTGGAACCCAATTCACATAAAAGAAAACAACAACAAATATCTCCACCATAGCTATTATATAAACACACACAAACATATATGGTGTATCGTAGAAACATAAATGGAAAGAATAGTCTACAACTTAGTATTAATTAAAACAAACGTAAAAAATCAAAATTTTCAAGAAATGAGGACTATTGTAAATATTAGAGAATTTTTCACCTACGAATCGTTCTTCAAAGAAAATTCCAGAATACACATAATCTATGAGAAAGGTTGAATGTAAAGCTAGGAGTGAAAGAAGAAGCTTAGGCATTCCTATTAGCTCCGGAAATGGAGTACATAAAAAAAAATGAACTCAACATATTGTAAGATAGAGAAGACAGAGAGAGATGAAGATAGAGAGAGAGGAAGAGAAGAATAGATTGTAAGATACTCATAGTTGCTGAATATAGGAGAAGAGAGAGGGAGAGAAAAGGCCTTACTTGGTCATCATCAAGGAGAGAGAGAAAAAAAGAAGGCAGCGGCGTGACGACGTCTTGAGAAGAAACCTCTCTTGGCGTCTTGATTCTCTTGAATTAGGGTTGAGGACTCCTAATCTTAATAAATAAATCTAACTTGTTTAGTGGGGCAGGGATATTCGGTCTACCCCTGCATCTATTCTTAGATGGGTTTATATGGGTGTATTTGTATATATCCACAATCCAATACGTATGGTTCATCCCCAATTCAAAAAGGCGGCTTTTGAATAAATTCTCCTTTTTCCCAGTCCATTGTCATCCCAATGTATAGGGGTGTTAGGGTAGAAATTATGGTATTTCATCTCCCTTTCCCATACTTTGTGAAAGAATTTTTTTTTAATCGACCCTATTCGATCAAGTGTATTATTACTACCCAAATTCCGTTCAAAATAATCGGATAAAAAATCGGGTGGACATATATTTTTTAATTATTAATTTTTAAATCATTTTAACAATTTAATTTATTAGTTTGCACTAATTAACCAACACAATAAATTAATAACACTAAAGAACACATAATAAATTCGATAATACGTAAACAATTACAATAAAATACAACAAGAAAGTCATAAACATCAATGCATCATAATTGTCGCATAAATACAATAAATGTATCTATATATATATATATATATTGTCTTTGCCTGAAGGCACAGAATAATAAAAAATGGTTAATAATAAACATATTTGTATTCATATTCAAAATCAAATCACAAATATAGAAAAGAGAAAAACATTTAAGCATCGTTTTGTAGTGGGGGTGAGAGGTGGTAGGCGACAGTGGTGGTGGTAGGAGATGGTGAGGGTTGTGGTGGGTAGCAATGATCGTGGTGGTAGTGGTGGCGGTGGTGGCGATGGTGGCGGCGGCGATAGTGGTGGTGGGCCGGTGGCAACGGCGATGGTGGCGGTGGTCATCGTGGCAGCGGCGGCGGCAGTGGCGGTGGTGGTGGTGAGGGTAGAGGTAGTGGTGAGACGATTTTAAACACTATTTTTTTAAAGTATTTATGAGAAATAATTTTTAAAAGTACTTTTAAAAAGTCACTCCAAACACATCCTTATAGGTCTATTTTTTCTATTAAATTTAGGGTGTTAATATTAGCCGTTAGATTAATTTTAAAGTAAAATTTAAAGCGATCTTAACTTGCATATATATATATATATATATATGCAAGTAAGATCGGGTAAGAATACATAATTTTTGTGGGTTCCTACCCGATTTTTACAAAATATCAAAAATTCTTTTGTTGGCCTACCTAAGTTTTTGCGTTAGTCGATCGGTAGGATCGGAATATGCCGGTAATTGAAAATTTGAACACTCCTACCTATGTCAAGCGGCCCAAGCTCTTCAATCTTGTCCCATAGACCTATGTGGGACACACTCAAACATGTTGCCAACTCATTTGAATGTGTGCCCGCTGGAGAATGTTTCCATATAAGATTTATCTAAGCATTTCTATTTGTGAACCTACCCTACAGTTGCGAGGTAGGTTTAACTCTGATGCCTCTTGGCTGAATCAAGCCCAATAACCATCTCTATGTCAATGTAGGACAATTACATGGACTCAACACCTCAACAATATCTTTGGCTATCAAATTCCTCGATATCCTCAACATTTGAAAAAAAAATAAAATTCTAGTAGCATGATACATTGATACAAATCCAAAGCTAATTGAAAATACAACTTGATTCACCAATAAACCTTATAGTCCATTTTCTTGTTATCATGCTCTCCATTAATATATTCACATATATATGATTTTTTGTTGCTTGAATGAATAGTTTTGGACTTCGGATGAATGTTGATCACATAAAGTTTATTCATGCACTTTTGCAGAGTGTGTTGAATGGGTATAATGGGACAGTTATGGCTTACGGTCAAACAGGTACTGGCAAGACTTATACACTTGGAAGATTGGGTAAAGATGATGTTTCTGAGCGTGGTATTATGGTTAGAGCTTTTGAGGACATAATGATCAATATATCTTCGGCATCTGATAGCGTAGAAGTCTCCTATTTGCAGGTACTAGTGGATGATGATTAAAATTATAGTATTTTGTTTCTGTTTATTGTGGTTAAATTATGTCGAGGGTGATTGCTTTTGTAATTTGATACGGTTTTGGGGTTTGACTTTGTCTGCAAAAAAAAAACAAACTTTTCTAAGTGCAACAAAAATGATAAAGGTGTTGGAATGTTATTAAAAAAAATTCATAGGGTTAAGTATAAACTTAAGAGGATGATGCATTAAGGATTCTGTGATCCATTTAGTAAGAAAACCATGTAGAATCAATTGGGGCTAGGAGTGGTGCTCCACAACATTGGTTGTGACTTATTCCAAATAGAAATGATAAGTTGGCATGTGGGAGGTTTAAAAATGGTTAAATTACACAAATTTTAACATATGCGTTATATTCGAAGAAAAATCTTTATAGTTAATGATACATTGAAGTTCAAGTTTTTTAGTGGTTTATTGGAAGATCTTTTACTTCCTTTTTATTAGGTATCATAATTTTAGTCTTTATTTTTTATTTCTTGTGCAATGTGGGAACAACATAATAAATAGGACTTGAGCAATAACAATAATTTCTAGAAAATTATCTAAATGGTGTCCCAAAGGCTTCTACACTATCTACACTCTACAAAAAATAATTCGACCTATTATAATTGAATGATAGGAATCGTACGATGTATCCACCGTATAAATTTAAGATCATGTCAACCGATTTGAAAGTGATCCAATACCAGACGATCTAATTCTGCAAAATAATTAACACCGGTATAGAACAGTGAGTATGTACTAAAAGATTTGTAAAGTAACACAAATTACTAAAAACAATCAATCTATTTGTAACGTCCAGTACTTATTTATCCCGCATGAATAACCCTCAAGAGGCTTAAGATCAAAATGTATCACCATTTAATAGTTACTTTCTCCTAAGCATCAACCGGAGAATTAACACAAATGAAAGAATGGACAAGTCAAAGAAATATTTTAAATTTTTTAAACACTCCTAACATGCTCCGAGACACAAACACATGCATACTTAACTAATCTTTTAAAAGAAGTTTTGAGTGGAAGAGTCCCTAACCTTCTGAGATATATCACACGAGTATTGAAGTAACATTAAAAGGCAAGATGTTTTTAGTGATTGGGACAATGGAGGTTGGTGTCAAACATAGGCATTGGTTGGATGTCAATGTTCACTTGTGTTCAACCAAATCTTTCAATAATGGCACTTTTGTGTGATTTGAACTTCCAGCAAAATCCTTGGAGACTAAATAGTGACATGTATGGGAGATTTAAGTTGATCAATAACCACATATAATTTATTTCCTATTAATAGTACAAATGTATGATTTGGCATTTTCTTGCACCAAAGTGTCCTCCCTAAGTTTTAACTAGAACCTTAAGGTTATTGGGCCTAATTTTAACCATAAAACTATATAATTTAGAATTTAACACACGAATATGTCACAGTAACAATCAATTTTTTGTATCACATATCATAATCATACTATTTAGATCTTGTAAATAGGTTATGATGCAAAAGAAGATTTATGATTGCACGCATGAACTAACCTTTTGGTAGAGCATAGGAAAAATATACAATTGCACCAGAAGCAAAGCTAGCAGAGTAAAAATCCAATGATGTGTCTTCACCTTACATCTCAGGAGAAGTGTTATATGGAGTATAATTGGATATTAAGCTCTTTAGTGTCGCACTTCCCCATTATAAATGCTTTTTGCTATATGATGCTCGTATTTAGAAAAGAAATCTGACTCATTCCATTTGAAAAACCCTTACATATATAAAATGTAATTATTATCAGGGAAATGTGCATTTGAGAATTTGTAATGATCCAGTTGGTGAAGATGATTGAGAATAACCTTTGTTGTAGATATTGTAAAGAAGTAGAGGCCGTAAGAAACTCAAAAGGTCTATAATAATTATCATTCTTTGATTGAAGACATACTTAAGGATGATCTCGTTTCAGGTTCTGCATTTAAAGACCAATTAATATGTTAGGACTAAGTAACATGAATGGAGTGTGTAACAATATATTTCTCAAAGAAAATCAAAAGACATTAAGGATGTGACGGACATTATATTAATAATTAAGGGTAAAATTGAAAATCAAAAGTTTTTCACCTTGGCTTCCTTTTGTTAGTATTATAGATATAGATAAATATGCTTGTAGGATGATTTTCTAGGACAACATTATTTATGTATATGCCAAAGATTTAGGTGCTGTATAAAATCCCTAAGAAATTGGCTTACTTTTGAAACTTTGGTTGATAAGGACTTTGTACTCATCTTTGCAAATAGTAAAAAATAAGTAGCGGAATGTAGAGACCTTTAAACTTAGTTTTTTCAAACAAATTTAGTTGGATAAGCTTTAGTTATGTTTGAACATTCAACTCAAAACCACTTAGCAATTAGTAAAGTGGCCTCTCAAACATATAAACTAACCTTGGTCTTAATCATTTGATGTAGGATAGAATATCTCTTTGCACCCTTTCTCATGTGGGACACGAGCCCCCACGTGGCGTTAACAAACAAACAAACAACTATACATACTAGAAAATCCAAATGGGTAAAAGACTTGATCGATTGATCACCCAAGGTCTAACTCTAATACCATGTCAAACAATCTAACTTAAAATCAATTGACAATGACTGGAGAGCCCCTCAAGCATATAAATTAACTTTGGGTGGTTCTAATAATTGGATGGGGGATATAACATCTCTTTGCAAATTAATCTAAATATATGGAGGAGTAGAAACATATTACCGTGAGCAAAGTTGTTAGTATCGTACGATACGCGATACGTATCGTACGATACGTTACGATACAGCCCTAAAACGATACAGATCGTAGTTATGTATCGTTTTTGCGTTGTATCGTCCGATACACGATACGTTTTTACGATACGATACGTATCGGTACGATACGCACGATACGTGCAATTTTTTTTTTTTTTTTTAAAAACGACGTCGTTTTGTGCTCTGATTTTTTTTTAAAAAAAACGACAAGTGAAGACTTGTTGGCATCCGATCACAATGATGATGATGATGATGCATTTTCAATTGAAATTGAAGATTGAGTTCAAAATGGATGTTAGAAATTTGGATTAGAAGTCTCTTTGGTGTTTAAAGTTTGAATTAGTGAACTATGGTTGTGAACTTTGCATTATAATAGTAGTGGATTATGTTGATAACTTGAATAGTTGGTGGAGTATTAATGAAATGCTATATTTTTTATGAGTGTATGACTTTTTTTCAAAGGTATATATATTTTTTTATTATTTATTTAAAATTGCATCGTATCTTACGATACACGATACGATACACGATACGATACAATATTTGTATCTTACGATACGCCTTCCGATACACGATTTGATAACTATGACCGTGAGGCCTTGAGTTGCTACTAAGTACTAACCAATTTGGCCTGTGTACTGTAACAATATGACGACTGATTGCCCGCTGAGAGTTTCTTAATCTGTCTTTGATTGTTTTCTTGTGTTGATATCATGTACTTGTTTGTACTATCTGATACAAAGTGTTGAATTAAACAAAAAGTGGAAGGCAAGAATGTTCAAAGGAAAGATGGAACACTCGGGGCTTGTTTGGTTTGCATCTCAAAAAATAGTATTCAAAAACTATTTTTGGAAAGAGTTTTAAGAAAGTGCTTTTAAAAATTTTAGGTTGCAAAACCTGTTTGGTTATATATTTTTGAAAATAGTTTTAAAGAACAAAAATTATAAAATCTGTTTTGACAATAATCCACAATTCTCACCTCTCTTTCTTTCCTCTCTCACTGTCTCCACAAAACACACTCACACACGCACACACACAGAGATGCATACACATACACACACAAACGTGCACACACACAAATCTGTGCTTAGATCTGAAGCTTCAGATGTTGCGAGAGAGAGAGATCAGATTTAAAGTTTTTGGTTGCAGTGGAGAAGAAGATGCTGGAGAAGACAAGCTCCCTGTGTATGTGTGTGTTCGTTCTATCTGAGAGGCAAAGTAAAGAGAGAGAGCTGGAGAAGACGAGCTCTGTGTGTGTGTTCGCTTTGTTTGAGAGGCAAAGTGGAGAGAGAGAGAGAGAGAGAGATTCAGGGTGAGAGGAAGGAAAAAAAAAGAGGAAGCTTATATACTATGACTAGTTTTGCTGCTAAAGGGAGTCGAAGGGAAGACCTCATTAAAGAGTTTTGTTCACCGTGTTTTCAAAATTTTCGGCATAAAAGTCTGAAAACAAGTGTGGCTTGTTTTCTATTTTTTGGCTCAAATTCTCAAATTTTTTCGAAAATTTGAGAACAAAAACTTTAACCAAATGGATTTTCATTGTTTTGAAGGTTTTGGGACCAAAAATAGGTTTGAAGATTCAAACCAAACACAGCCTCAAGTTCTCTTACTGCCGTGTTTTAGTTTATAAAATTGCCAACATGAAGCTGCAGTTATTCTAATTTATCTTTAGACTGATGTCTTAGTGGAAATAAAGTAACATGCTGAGGGAGACGTAGCTATCAGATGAATTTACTTGAATACATTACTTAGTTCTTTCACTTATTATGCTCGGTTTGTAATTTTCTATTCTGATTGCATTGTCACTTACGATATAAAGGTGTGTACTTACATAGATCAATGTGTATTTTCATTTAACCTCACAAGTGAATGCAATGCTAACTTCAGGCTTACTTCTCATCAGACTACTAACATCTTTTAAGATATCTTCATGTTATTTTGTGATGAATTATACCACTGCTAAATTCCATGAAGCAGTCTCACATTTTGTTATTCCACTAGTTGTACATGGAATCTATACAAGATTTGCTCGTACCTGAAAAGATTAACATCCCAATAGTTGAAGACCCAAAGACGGGGGAAGTGTCACTACCCGGCGCTTCAGTAGTTAAAATTCAAGATTTTGACCACTTTTTGCAATTACTGCAAATTGGAGAAGCAAACCGTCATGCAGCAAATACAAAGCTGAATACAGAATCTTCACGTAGTCATGCAATTCTTATGGTATGTGTTGTCAGAATTTGTAATCAGTTTTTTTGAAGACTGCCCAGAAAAGTATATTTCTTTAAATGATAAACAATGTGTTTTTATCCTTAGCTTCACTCTCAATGTTTCTTTTGTTTATATTCATGTTTAAGTTCGTAGAGAATATCTTTGTCATTTCAAATTAGTCAGTAAAAATTGCTATTTTAATGTTTATCTGCGTCCATTTTTTTTCTTGTTTCTATAGGTTTATGTTAGAAGATCTGTCCATGAGAAAGAAGATGATTTTCATGTTCAAGAAAAGGACAACATAAGTGTTTTACCCAGCGACCACGGTATACCTACTGTTCGAAAAAGCAAGTTGCTGATTGTTGATCTTGCAGGATCTGAGCGAATAGACAAATCTGGTTTGTTGTTTACATTATTTTGTTCTTTCCTTCATCTCTTTTTTGAGTGAACTTCGTTGATGGTGGGCTAATTACATGATATATCAGTTAATTTTCATCTCATTAGTGTTTGTTAGTCATAAAATAGCAGCCTTAAATTAGTTATATATCTTTTTCTGTGAATGGTAAATAGGTATCATCCTTCCAAATCTTTTACATTATTGGTTTTACATGTTTTAGGGAGCGAAGGTCACTTGGCTGAAGAGGCTAAATTTATCAATCTTTCTCTTACCTCACTGGGTAAATGTATAAATGCATTGGCTGAAAATAGTCCTCATATACCCACAAGAGATTCTAAGTTGACAAGATTGCTTCGCGATTCATTCGGAGGTGATCCTGATTGTTCTGCTACTCATTTGGTTACATTAATGTCTTTTAGTAGTATCATGTATGCAATGTTATTTATAATATGGGGTGTAGTATTGGAGTTACACTTCAATTGAACATAGTTCTGATAAGATTTATCAATGAAGAAAGAAGAGAAAGAGAGAGATAAAGAGATTCTCATTAAGATAAACTAAGTCTGTATTACAAAACGTTAAATGGAAAACTGGACAATAACAGTAGGGCAACACATAGTAACATGAATGACTAAACTACTCCTACTGCTAATGTATTAAATTATTCTAACACTCCCCCTCAAACTTATGATGTAGTAGTATCAAACATCAAGAGTTTGTCAAGAAGGAAACAGAAGTGCGCGATTGTATGAGACTTCGTAAAGGTAGGGGAGAAATATCGTGCCCAGTTGAAGATGATGGCGCACAATGACAATCAATGTCAATATGTTTTATGCGCTCATGAAACACCAAGTTATAGGTAATTTGAATGACACTGGTGTTATCACAATACATAGAAGTACGAGTAGACAAGGAAATGACAAGATTAGCAAGTAGCCAATGCAACTAAACTATCTTTACTGTGGTGAATGCTAGAGCACGATACTCAACTTCAGTAGAAGATCGAGTCATAACAGTTTGTTTATTGTTTTTCCACAAAATAAAAGAATCACCATGAAAGAGATAAAAACTAGTGGTAGACTTGCGATCCATAGAGTAACCAGTTTAGTTCGCATCAGAATAAGCTTGGAGTTCCAGAGATGGTGAGGAAGAAAATAATAAACTCTGATGCAACATACTCCGAAGATACCAAAGAATCAGAAGACCAGCAGACCAGTGAAGAGTGGCAGGGGAAACAACAAATTGACTAACTACATGAACTACATAAGCTATATTTGGATGAGTAACAGTAAAATATACCAAACTCGCAATAATAGTATGAGATATAAGGTAAGGTCGGGCTAGAGAAAACCATTAGAGGAAGTATAACGAACATTAAGCCCTAAGGGTGTGTCAACAATCTGATTATCCGATAAACAAGTTTGTTGAATAACATCTAAGGCATATTTTGACTAGAAGAGAAGATAACCTTTGGGAGAGGAAACAGTCTCAATTCCTAAGAAATACTGTATTTGACACACATCTTTCATATCATAGTTTTCCTTTAACTGAATTTTTAACAGTCGAATACTAGCATTGTCATCACTAATAATAATCATATCATTCACATAAAGTAATAGAAGAATAAAACCTGAAGAATTGGATCATAAGAAGGGAGCAAAATCATGATTACAAGCACAGAAATCTAATTCACATATGAATGAAGAAAGCTTTGTAAACCATGCCCTCAAGACATGTTTAAGGTCGTATAAAAGTCTTATGAAGTTTGCATATTTGACCAGGACTATGAGACAACTCAGAAAGAGTTATATAAACCTTTTCAGATAGATCACCTTGGAGAAAAACGTTTTTCACATCCATATGAGATAATCTCCACTGACAAATAATTGCCACAATAATTACTGAGATCCGTGGTCATCTTAGTAGTAGAAGTAAAGTGTCATCGTAGTCAAGCCCATACTCTTGAGCAAATCCCTTAATTACTAATCTAGTCTTGTATCTTTTCACAGAACCATCAAATTGGGTATTGATTTTTTAAACCCACTTGCAACCAATTGTGTGTTTATGGGGAGGTAAAGACACCAACTCTCAAGTTTGAGTCTTATGTAAAGCAAAAAATTCCTCGTCCATAGCCTGTTGTCAAAGAAGATCAAGGATAGTCTCCTTACAGGAGGTTGATTCAGACAGAGAGTGTATATAAGTCAAGAAAAAACAAGAATCAGAAAAGTAACAAGAGTTGAACAAGTCAAACTTATCAGGATACTTCTGAGTATGCTAAGGGTAGCGAGGAGTGTGATCCATGGTGCCAGAATCTAATTGGGGGACGGGAGATGCAAAAGTCACAACATATGTGGCAAAGATAATAGGAGTCTTGCGAACATAAGTATGCACAGTAAGGGGTGGGTAACAGACAAATCAAGCAAAGAAGAAGAAGAGGAAGAAGGCAGATCGGACACAGTCATATCACCAACATATTTATTGGGGAAAACATCATAAGGAAAGAGATAAATATAGATGAGATCAGATTTATGCAGAGATGAAGAATTAGATGAAATAGAGAAAAAAGGAAAATGTTCCATAAAGACAACATGGTGAAAAATAGAGTTTTTGTATATTAGGATTATAACATTGATATTCCTTTTGTCCTTCATCATATTTAAGGAAATCACATAAGACTAAACGAATAAAGAGTTTGGTACGATTAACACTAGGTAGTAAAACCAAACATGTACATCCAAACACACGGACGGAGAAATAATCAAGCGTCTTATCACACAGTTTTTCTAAGGTTGAGATAAAAGAATTGAGGATTATGAGAATGCAATTAATTAGGTGAACTGTTATAAGGACTGTTTCACCTCAAATGACCTAAGGACACTAGTTGACAATAATAGAGAATGAGCCGTCTTAATAATGTGATGATGTTTTTGCTCGGCCACTCCATTCTGCTCTGGTGTGTTAGTACAAGAAGATTGATAAATAGTATCATCAAATTTTAACAAGTCACAAAAATAACTAAAGGAATATTCTTCTCCTTGATCACTGTGGAAGTATGTGATAATAAAAGAATATTGAGTATGCATTATAGCACGAAAAACAGTGAAGATACAAAAATTCAGACTTATGTTTCATCAAATAGAGCCAGCAGTATCTAGTATGATCTTTAATAAAAGATACATAATATTTAGACCTTCTTTTAGTAGCAATAAGAGTTGGTCCCTAAATATCAAAATGTACAAGATCAAAAGGTGCAAAAGAGCTAGAATTACTTTTATTAAAAGGTAATGTAGTAAATTTAGCCAACTTGCATCCACTGCAATCTAAAATATTATGATTCTTTAAACTATCCAAACTACTAGTAGAAGTTAAAAATTTTAAACGAGAATGAGAAACATGACCTAGAAAACTTAATTGAAAAGAAGATAAATTAGCAGTAGAGGTAACAATTTTGGGAATATGAAGCTTGTCCAACACATATAAACCTCTATTTCTATGACTTGTCCCAATCAGTTTCTTGGACTGTGGATCCCGCACAACACAACTAGTAGAGAAAAAGTGAATTAAAAATCTTGAATTGAACATTTGACTAATTGAAATTAAATTCAAAGTGAGTTGACAAATAATAAATCTCAAGAAGTGTAAGCTAGGAGGACATAATTGTTCTAATACCAACCAAAGACATTAGGTGTCATTGGCTACAAGGATAGATATAGAGCGAGGCAAAACAATAGATGCAAATAAGGAAAAATTACTAGTCATGTGATGGGTAGCTCCTGAGTCAAAAACTCAGGCAATTCGAGATATATTTGAAGAACTCGAAGTGAATGAACTGGCTGAGGGAGAAAGTGATAGGGCACCTGGTTGATGAAAAACTCAGTAATTGATCAGCAATCGTAGGCAAGCTCGGAGTTGATGGGAGTAACTTATCCACCGGTGATGCAACTGCTGTTGTATAGTAGTCTTTGGGCTTAAAGGGTTGATTGAGCGGTCCCCGTGTATTCTTGCTCACCAATTTAGGGCACTGTGCCTTCTAGTGACCCTTCTCACATCAAAATCTACACTCATTTTAGGCAATTTTATCTCGGTACTTATTCTGTGAATTAGAAGTCCTTTTTGGTGGAACATTTAATGCAGTCTGAGTAGGCAATAAAGAAGCCTCTTTCCAGAAAAAGTCTTAAGATGCACCTTCTCACCCAAGAACTCATTAACCACTACATCAACTTGGGGGGAAGTGGGGTAGCGATGAAGAATGGAACCACGAAACCTCTCAAAGTCATAAAAAATTGCACTAACCTCTGTTTTTCTTTGAAAGTACGAGTGCTAGTTGATCCCAATGTCCAGTCATGATTGAGTAAAACTCCTATATATTTCTATCACCTTGACAGGTAGCACGAATTTCATGCTCGGGTTGATGTCTCTTTGCAAAGTTAGGCTGAACAAACAATGTGGCCAAATAATCCTACATTTCCTTGGCAGTGGTAAACGTAGTTAGGTGAACCCCAATGGTCTGATCAACTAAATTGTTAAACCATGTGATAATTTTAGCATTGTTGGTGTCCCAACTGTTCTTCAAATCTATATACTTTTCTACCTTAATATCTATTCGAGCTTGCACAACACCATTAACATAACTCCGCATTTCTTTGCCCATCAAAAAGTTTTTCATAACATATGCCCAATTGGTATAGTTGTCCCCATTCGACTTTACACTAATGGCCTGAAGAGAATTAGAATTACTACCTGCAATATTCTCAAATAGAGAAGCTAAACAAATTAGATTCAATCTCACAAATCTAGGAGCCCAATAACAAATTCAAACACCAGCCAGTCCCACCGTTTTTCACCAACCCAAATTTTCAAACTACTACTCCGCTTCTAAACCAAGATCCACAATTTATAGGGCCGGATTACACCAAAGCAGACCAGAAAAGAGAGGAGGAAGAGTTTTGACTATTGTTCATGGCAAGAATAGGTTGCCGAACTCCCAAATCTGTCAAAAATTCACCAAAAACCAACCTACTGCCTTCAAATCCACCAACCAGGCTCCAAACAATCCTAATCCCACCCCTCAGAGTAGATTTGAAGTAACAAATTCGATAAAAATAGCCAATTGGTTCAAAAATCTCAAAAAATTTTCAAAAATTAGAAAACCCAATCAAATGGCCACGAAATCAAAAACAAAGTATACCATGAGATTAATCATGAAATTTCGAGTCTGGTAGTGCCTCTCCCTGGTCCAGGATGACGATGATGTCATCGCAGCTTGCTGACATTAGCCCTAGTGCTCTGAACAGTTTCATCTGCTATGTTTTAACAGTGTAATGCCGTGATATTAGATGTATTTTGGATTCAAACCTGCTTTAATACTATGTTAATATTTATCAAAGAAGAAGCAAGAATAGAAAGAGAGAGAGAGACAAAGAGGTTCTCATTAAGATAATCTAAGTATGTATTACAAAATGTTAAATGGAAAACTACACAATAACAGTCTTATATACTTGGGCAAAACATAGTAACATGAATGACTAAACTACCCCGACTACCAATATACTAGATTACTCTAACAAGTACGAGTGTAGTCTTAGAGAAACAACTGTGACTTGCCCATTAGTTATATCTGTGAGGTTTATGTACCTGAATTGTTCATTCTCCGTATCTTTATGTTTTTTTTTTTTATGATAATTTCTATGAGTTTAATCAAACAGGCTCTGCAAGAACCTCACTAGTAATAACAATTGGGCCATCTTCTCGACATCATGCAGAAACCACAAGCACCATAATGTTTGGACAAAGGGTGAGTGAGATATCAGTTCCAAAGCATTATCAAACATGGCCGATCACTGATCACTTAGAAGGTCTCTGTGACTTCCTGTTTGTCATGTCTAGAATTTCCAACCTTGTGATCTATGGAATAATTATAAACTACCTGCTGTGTATAACCCCTGTGACACCCATCGTCGAAGTCAAGGCAATGACAATTGGAAAGCGTTTTTGTCAATTGAAATTGCTTTTTTTTCTTAATCGAATGCAGTTATCATCTGCTTATGTCATCACAATATAACTGAATATCTTGTGTCCCTAAATACAACACCAGGAATCAAATGGTGATGAAAAGGAAAGTAATTAATGCAATTGATTAAGCTATAGAAAGAATTATTGCATTCTCCGGTGTTGGCATTTGCTACTATGAATCAACTTAGCACCATCACAGTCTTGATAGAAGGTGATGAACATGACAGGAGATTCAAGTCACATTGTAGCATCACATAATGGTATTGGCCAATTGATAACTCGGCTCGGACAACTCGAGGTTGACTCGGAGATATATCGGATGATTGGGCCAAGTTGCTTGCGACTCTGTTTAAATGGAATGTAGAATGGAACCGAACATGAGGTCCAAGTTGTATACAACTCTCCAAGTCGTGTCGGTACTTTGAACCATGACATAGAAGGCAGCCTTTATGGCTTTATACCTGTTATAATACTTCCCATCCAGAAAACCCTTGCATAAAGGCCATGGTTGCTAGTACTCTGTGGTAATAGGGCAGAGACCCAATAACTTAGATTTGCTGCCAGTTTATCTCATAATGAATTGCCTTGATCCGGTACTCTTTTGAGTCTACATAATAACCAATAACTTAGATTTGCTGCCAGGGAGTGTTCACTTTTTGGTTGCCCTCCTTTTTATTATCATGATAATATGCATGCATTGAAACTAGTGTTAAATAGTTGCACTCTTTGCCCCTCATAATGTCACTGATTCTCAATTTATTACATGTTAAATTTTTTTCTTGACATGTTTTATGTCCTTAAAAAATGTCTAAATCAAGGTAATCTGAATCTTGTTGCTTGTGTAGGCCATGAAGGTAGTAAACATGGTAAAGCTAAAAGAGGAATTTGATTATGAAAGTTTATGTCGGAAGCTTGAGGACCAAATTGACCACCTCACTATAGAGCTTGATCGGCAACAAAAGTTGAGGGAAAATGACAAAAATAAAATGGAAAGAAAGCTCAAAGAATGTCAGACCTCCTTTGCTGAAACAGAAAAAAGTTTATCTGACAGGTCTGAGGTATTTGTCTCTCCAGCTGTTTTGTGTCTTGCAAATGATTGACAAAATACTTTCCAGGGAAAAAAGCTCAAATATTCACAAAATTACTTCTTGTTGTTGGTACCCCTGCTCATTGTTCCGATTTATCTTGGTAGTGCAGGTCACCTGTTTCATTAATGCTTTAATTTTATTTTTTTGAATTCCTCATACTTGATTGCAGTTTTTAGAGAAGGAAAATACTCGTTTGGAAATGGATATGAAAGATATGTTGAAGAGATTGAATAGTCAAAAAGATTACAATGATTTAATATGCAATAAAGTTGCAAGCCTGGAAATGAGCTTGAATCATAGCAAGGTATATGAAATAGAACTGTATTTGGCTGAAAACTCATCTAATCCTTTTATTCAAAGATATGATACATGTCTAATGCCAGAAGATATTATTTTCTGTCTACTACAACTTATGCAACCAGTCTTTACTTTTAACAAGCTGAGATCAAACCTTCTAAATATTGCATATTTTATTGCAGTTTCTAGAGAAGGAGAATACTCGTTTACAATTGGAGTTAAAAGATGTGTTAGAGGAATTGAAATGTCAGAAAGATCATAATGATTTGATCCGTGATGAGGTTGCATGCCTAGAAATGAGTTTAAAGCATGGCAAGGTATTTGCAACATAGTTGCACTTTATTTCTCAAATATCTTCTAAATATAAAGTTTGATTAAAAAATATTTAATCTTTTCCTTTTAATTTCACTGATCCGAGATAGTTTTGGTTTCTCTTAGTTAAACTGTTACTGTACAAGTTGAATAATAAAATTGATATTAAGGTTTATGAGTGAAAGAAGAAGGGAGGAAGCAAGAGAAAGCGATTGAGAGAAATTATTAGTTGTGTAGGCAATGTTGTGCTACACTCTCATATTTATAATAAATTGATATTATTAACAATTACATTATTATCATAAATTACTAATAATCTAAAATAAAAACTCTTAACACTCCCTCTTAAGTTGGAGCATATAGATCAAACATACTTAACTTGGAACAAATATTGCTGAAGATAGATCAAGCTAATGGTTGGGTAAGGATGTCACCCAGCTGATCAATAGACTTGATGTATGGTGTGATAATCTTCTTATGCATCAAGAGATCTTGAATAAAATGACAATTTACTTCAATGTGCTTAGTTATCTCATGAAAAATCGGATTGTTGGTAGTAAAAATAGCTAATTGGTTAGTACAATGCATCTTCATAGGAGAGGGCACACAAAGTGATGAACGAACCCACAACATCTCACACGTAGTATGGGTCATGACCTGACATTCATCCTCTGCACTTGAACGAGAAACCACATTATGTTTCTTGCTATGCCAAGTAACAAGTTTACCACCAATAAATATAGAACAATATGAAGTTGATTGTCTATTAGTACGATTATCTGTCTGGTCAGCATAAAAAATCTAGTAACAATTACGGAGGATGAAAACCGATTTAATAATCCTTTACACAATGCTCCTTGCTGATATTGAAGAATATGACAAATTGCCTCCAAATGAGGCTTACAAGAGCATAAATGAATTGACTAACCACACCAAGGACATAAGTAATATCAAGACATGTAATTGTAAGTAATTCAACTTTCCAATCAACCTTTGATAACGTCTTCCATCATCTAACACTTCACCACTATCAACATCCAATTTAACCATGGAATCCATGGAAAAATCAGTTGGATGTGCACCACGAGTTCCAATTTTAGACAATATATCCAATATGTACTTCGAATGCATAAACTAATGCTTTCCTTTGATCGAGCAACTTCACCTAAGAAGACTTAGGTTTTGGTATGAAACTACTTCTACAAATGAATCTTAAAGTGGGCAATACCATTGGAGTTATGACTGCTAATGATAATATCATCAACATACACAATAAAAATAATATCACCTGTGGAAGAACGACGAATAAAAATTAAATGGTCTGAAGTAGAACGTTGAAAACATACTGAAGAACAACAATATTGTACTTATTGAACCAAGTACGTGGTGATTGTTTCAGACTATATAGTATTTTCTATAGAAAACACACTATTTGTTCCTTACCAGATAAAAATAACCTAGAGGTTGTAACATATATACCTCCTCTAGCAGGACTTCATGTAAAAATGCATTCTTAATACCAGTTTGATACAAAAGTCAATCATAACTCACGACAATCGAATAAGAACTTTAACAGAGTTATGAAGAGCAACATGAGGGAAAGTCACAGAAATATACACCATATGTCTGGCTATAGCCTTTGGCAACCAGACAGGCCTTCAGACACTCAACTGAATCATCAGGATGATACTTCATTATGTTGACCCAACAACTGATAGGCTGTTTACCAGAAGAAAGAGAATTAAGGTCCCATGCCTGATTCTTATTAAGGGCTTTTGTTTCTTCATTCATAGCTAGTTTCCAACCGGTAGACGCCAATATTTATTTCAAAGAACTAGAAACAAATACCGATGACAGAGCCAATGTAAAGCAACGAAAAAATGGTAAAAATCGATGCAAAGAAAGAAAATTAAAAATTGGATACTTTGAATAATTATGGGTACCTTTCCTCAATTCAATAGACAAGTCAGAAGATAATGAACTAGCTAGGCTTAGAAGACAGAACCTTAGTAGGACTAGGCGATGGCCTTAGAGTTAGAGCATATGGAACACACCTGTTAGTCCTTGGAACGATGATAAACCTGCAAGGGAGAAGGAGGACTCAAGGAAGAAGAAGATACGCAGTCTAGCACTGTAGGGAATACGGGCTCCCCTGAGTGGGAAAGACTAAATTTGGATAAAGTGTATCGCTTGACATAGAAAAGAAGGAAAATGACTCAAAAATGTGATATCAATATTGACATAGTATCGATATGAAACGAGGTTATAGCAGGGATACCATTTTTGAGTATGAGAATATCCCAAAAAAGATATGTAACCGAGGGAGGTGAAAGTTTATCCCTACCCAAACCAAAGAGAAACAAATGCAATACATCCAAGGACACAAGGAAGGAGACCGAATGACGGTGTATCAGGATAAAGCAACGAGGAAGAAAATTTATTGTCCGGAATGGGGAAAAACATACGATTAATAAGATAAACTAAAGTAGGAATAACATCATTTCAATATGGTTTTGGCATATGCATGTTAAATATTAAGGTGCGGGCAACATCTAACAAATGACGATATTTTCATTATGTAACACCATTTTGTTGGGAGGTATGAGGATAGGTGGTTTGATGGATAATGCTATGGTCAGCACAAAAGTTTTTCGTAAATAATTGAGTATACTCGAGGACATTATCAAACCAAAATACTTTCATACGAATATTAAATTGAGTCAAAATTTCACATTAAAGGGTGGAAAAGACCTTGGGTAACTTATATCGATCATAACTCATAAGAGATAACCAAGTCATATGAGAGAAATCATCAACAAAGATCACAAAATACTAAAAACTAGAAGTACTTTTGACTCTTGTAGGGCCCCAAATGTCTGTATGAACAACATGAAAAGGACTAGTTTGACGATCTAAAGAGCTCGGAGGAAAAGAACTACGGGATGCTTGCCTAATTGACAAGTCTCACATTCAAACACAGAAGAAGAAATCAAACCGCGGATAACTTGGCATAACTTGTGTAAGGAAGGATGACTTAGTCGGAAGTGCCATTGAAATGGAGACACAGTAGCAATCAAGGTAGGAACAAAACCATCAGGATCTAAGTAGTACAAGTCATTTTTCTCATTTTTCAAACCAATCATCTTCTTTGTCTTGAGATTCTGAAAAACAAAAGAGGATGGAGAAAATGTTATTGTAATGGCTTAGTTAGCTGACTCACATACAATAAATTAAAGGAAAAATTCAAAACAAATAAACTAGAAGTCAATGACATAATGAGAGTAGGACGGACATCACCAGTACATGGCGAGAAAAGTCATCAGTTAACACAATTAGTGAGTGAGACGAATGTAAATTAGAGAACAAAGACGACTTACAAGACATATGAGCACTCCCCCTTGAATCAATAGTCCAAGATGACAAAAAAAGTTTACAATCACTCATGATGAGTTACTTCCATTAGCAAAACTAGTAGTAGAAGCAGACAAATGTGAAGAAAGTGAATACAACTTGTGAAGGAGCTGATTAAGCTTAAGAGAAAAATTGTCTTGAAAGCCAAAACTAGGTGCAACTGGGCCATTAGTAGAAAGTTTGATATACTATTGAACCCAAAGTATCACAAGAAGCTTAATTAGCATGTGTTGGTCTCCTATATTTATCCCAACATTTATAATTAGTATGTCTTGTATCACCATAATAAGTACACTTCCACACGCAACGATAACGACGACGACGACCAAAATGACCACCACGAGCAGTACCTTGACCACCAAGACTGGTAGAATAGGGTGGACCAAATCCACCATCACGATCACCTCCATAACCACCATTCAAGTTTGCCATCACTAAACCTACTGTCAACTATACAACAATAGGAACTAATGCACTACAAACAATCCTCAATCATACAAACTACCAATAATGGAGCCAAAAAAATTGTTCGAGATGCTTAAATCACCATCGAATCAAAGCCACAAACCACCCAAAAGAAGGCAAGCACAATAGCCGTCTCCAAAAAAAATAACATGTGCGCCAAAAAAATAATAATAATTGAAACCACAAGGCTGGAACAGTCCACACTGTTCAGCCTCCAAATAGTAGAGTCAAAGGTCTAGAGGCACCAAAACACATCATAAACAACCATGAGCTATCACACCAATGTAACCCAAAGAGAAGCAGCACTAAATCACACTTTCAGGACTCAAAAACCACCACATGGGCCAACAAATAGCCAAAGTTCACAACTTTGGAGCAGGTCTAACACTGTTCAAGCATGAAAATGTTGTCGGCATGAGTTTCCTCCAAAACACCACCTCCAAACATTAAATCAGGCTGGACAACTCAGAACTTCGATAGAAACCACATACTAGAAGATTAGAGAGGCCAGAACAACCCAGCAAGTGCTTGGTGCACTGTTCCGGTGACTGGAATATTGGCCAAAAACAAAAACACCAAAAAAGGTTTGAAACTCACTACGGAGAGCTGGACACCTCACAAAACTCTTCTAGAGTTCTAGTTGGCATCCTCAAGTAAAGGATCCAAGCAACAAATCACACCAAATTGCCCCAAAATCCCGAACTCAGAAATTGACCGTATTTTGCCGAAAATCATTCAAAAATAGGAAACCCTCTTCAGATGGCCTCAAAAAATTACAGAAAAATTACCATAATTACCAGCACCAAAAGACAAGTCAGATTAGGGTTGTAGTCGTCGGAGAATTGTTGACATCTCTTTTCCGGCGATGACGTCTTCCTCATTGTTTTTACTGTGCTGTTCTTGTGATTATTTGCTTTAAAAAAAACTGCTCTGATACCAAGTTGAATGATAAAATTAATATTAGGATTTATGAGGGAAACAAGAAGGGAGAAAGAGAGTGAAAGAGATTGAGAGAAATAATCAGTTGTGTAGGCAATGTTGTCCTACACTTTCTTATTTACAATAAACTGACATTATGAGCAATTACATTATTATCCTATATTACTAATAATCTAAAATAAGAAATCTAACAGTTGATATTACTTACAAATAACTACCAGATGTTTGTGCTGAAAATATATATTGAAGTAAACTGAAGGGTAAAGAAAAGAGAGAATTATGTCTTAAAATTTGAACCACCAAAGCAATAATAAAGTTGTTGCATGCTTATAACACCCCCCCTTTTTTTTCTCTCCCCCTCCCCTTCCTTTCTCCCCATCAAAAGAAATGCTGTCACATGTACAAAACATATGCTAATGGGCTTTTGCTCCTTAAAGGTGTATACTCATATTCAAAGCTGAAACGAATTTAAACAACCTCTAATTTTTTGTTGTCTTCTGACTGCCAGTTTTATCTTCTGATAGCTCGACAATAATAGTACTTATTGTCCTAAACCAACCTTCAAAATGTACTGAACCTCACTCTAAGTAGTATTCAGTTACATGTTTTTGTATGTCTCTGTTTTTGTGTCCTTAAAGCCACAATACATTTGCCAAGTATATATTTTTTAATAAAAGATACATAATTCAGCCCAGCAAAAGGAAAAACAAAAAGAGAAGATACACGTTTCCTTTTTTCTTGTTCAACTTCACACACATTTTGCATGATGGATTGAACTTTGGATTTGATTGAGTTTTTCTGCAAATATCTTTGAATGAACATCTCATTAGTTATTGGCAATCGAATTTACCGAATTCAAAGTGCAATGTTTAAGCAGTTGGCAAGTTGGTGACTTTCTGTTTTAACCCTATGTAATCGAGGATTCTATATTCTCAATGAATGTAAAACAAACGTAATTGTGTACTTGTTGGAGTTATGGTTGAAAAGTATCTTCAAAAAAAGCAAATTTTAAGGAATTTTTATGGACATGATTTTTAGGAATAATTAGCTCATTAGTCTGTCTGTCTGTCTGTCTCTCTCTCTCTCTCGCTTCTATTTCTATTGGATGTTCATTCTCATAGCAAATTGTGAAACAGTCCAGACTTCCGAGCCTGGTACAGTCTGGTCATCTGGTGGTCTGGTCTTTGAAATTTTCTTGAAGTTCCTTATTTGCTTTTATGAATAAATTCATTACTAAAAATACTGAAGATCATTTTCACGAATAAGGTGATGACTCCTTAAATAGCTATAAACTTATAGTTATTGATTCGTTTTGTTTTTCCTTCAACTTTAGAAGCAGCAGCTTATTTTGTCATACATGCGTACTAGAACTGATACTGTTTTCTTGGTTTTTAGTGGCAATACCAAAATGAAAATACGGCATATCAGAAAGTTCTTGCAGATACCACCCAAATGTATGAGAAGAAGATAGCAGAGTTGATGAATCAATTAGATGATGAGCGTGCTCGCTCTGAAAGTGCTGAACAACAATTAGATGAGATGAAGAAGCTATTAAGTGATCATCAAAAGTCAAAGCAGGTTTGCCGTTCATATACTATATGTTGAAAACATGTTATTTGTCCTTCCTAACTTCACTTCCAATTGTCAGTTCTCCTGATCCCTGGGATTTTCAATTTGTAATTGTTTGGACATAATTCATTTTTATGCATTTTTAAATTAAAAATCACCAAATTTAACATTTTATATGTTCTGTGTCACATTCGATATGTATGCCATATTTGAGCCTTTTTACTAGGGGGTTCACATTTTCTTGCCCTTAATCTCATCTGAGAGAAGTATAGAATCGAATTTTGTTTCTTCCACAGCAACAGGAGATGGAAAATTCTACATCTCAGAAGGCACTTGCAGAAATCACTCAAAGGTATGAGAAGAAAATAGCAGAGTTAAATCAGCAACTAGAGGATGAGCATGCCCGTTTTGCCGATATAGAAGAACAGATGGGATTAGCGAAGGAGCTTTTAAGTGATCATAAAAAATCAATCCAGGTGAAATCCATGTGTGATTCTGAACCAGATAATGAAGTTTTATGTATTTTCAGTTTTATCTTCATGCTTCTTTTTTCTGTTGCTCCAAAAGTAATCTATCCCTTTTGGGAAGCCAAATTATGACATTCTTGAGTTGATGCCCAAACTCCTTTCTTTAAAATGAATGTGAATATCTATTTTTTACCAAATCAAGTTTTTTAACCACTCTAACCACCATATCTTTGGCAAGTGGGAGATAACAAACAATTTTGAAGGAAGAGAGGGAGGAGGGGTAATTTGATGTAAGATGCATGTGTATAGTATGTGCCATCCCTTTAGAGACAATTTAATTTATAGAGCCTTATCCATATGAGGGGTAATATAAATAAAAAATAGTGGTAACCAATAATTTTTGCTTTCAAATAATAACTAATACTTTTCATGGAGGGGATAGACTGACCCCGTGGCTGGTAATCCTGTTGTTTGGCTTGGGAAATGCAATAATAAGTGAATGTAATTTTCAGTAATTTACTTTCCACTTCTTTCCTTTCAGAATTCATCTATAGACTGATCGTCAGAAATTCTATTTGTTGCATATACCACATGCAGATCTGCTAGAATACATTTTCTATCTTGGTTTTTGTCTCCCTCTCCATTCACAAATTCTGTTATTAGATCTGATATTATCCTACTTAGATGAACAAAAAACTAAAATTTGATTTTCTAATCCATCTATCTGAATAAGAAAATTATCACTTTGTTCACAAAGACTTGTTTTATGCTTTTTGTGTGTGTGTGTGTGTTTTTTTTTTTTTTTTTTGGGNAATTCAATTTGATAACAATAAAATCATTCAATCAAAACCCTAACATTCAATTTGAAATTAACACCCCCAATTAACACTCAATTAATACCCAATTAAAATTAACACCCAAATTGAAAACAATTTGAAAGCCTTAACTTTCAATTAGCTACAAAAATGTGAATGAATGTGGTTGTGATGTGTGCTGCATTGAATGTATTATTCTGTGCAGGTGTGTGTGTGTGTGAATGTGGTCGCGGAGTTGTATTTGTTATGTTGGCGAGTGTGTGTGTGTTTACAACTTTGTGTGTGTATGCGACTTCGTGTGTTCTACGTGTATGTGTGTGTGTGTGNTTGAAGAAGAGAAGAAAGTGTTGGAGAGAACGGTACTTCAGATTTACACTGTACCTTCACTAGCATTTTTTCCAAGCCCAACATTTGGACTAACAGCTATGGGGATGTTTTAATTGTCCCCATAACAAGGTTTATGAAATTGGGATCCTACCTTGAATCGATGGAGGTGGCTAAATGAACTGAAAATATGGGACGAAAAATATAAGGGACACTTCTTAAACTAAAAAATAGAAGAAGCCTAGTATATATGCAAAATGTAGGAGTGTTATAACAAACATGTAGAATTTACAGATATGATGAATCTGGAACTGAATGGGTTTGAAATCAAAGTGGGTTGTTAATCTTGTGGGATTTTATGATGAGAAATAGGAGAATTAAAGTAATTTTATGGAGAGATGCGGAGATAGAGGAAAAACTCTTGAATAAACATCTTTGACGGCTCGACATCCAACAAAACTAGTAGAAGGGAATGAAATTGAAAGACATATCTGGCTATGATCACTCACCGAGAGAAGAGAAAATTCGACCATTGTTTTCAACTTTTCAATGAGACAGACAAACAAATAAAGAAAGTTTTTTGTATCGGAGAGTTTTTTTTAGTTTTTTTCGTTTGTTGAAATTCCCCTAATAAGTGACTGAATAATTACATTTGGATTGAGTCTTTAAGTATTAAAGCAAGAAATATGGATCGAACCAGCTCAATACCTAAGGGTCCCTAACCAACAAACCCAACAACTTGAATCGATAAAATCGCAATAGGGATTGGGATCATACTATCCTATAAAATCCAGATCATAATATATTAAGATCCTATGAATTAGGGAGTTTTCAATAGACTTGGATTGATTTGCCTTTACTGGTAGGATCCCACACTCCAGATTGGGATTTTGATAACATTGCCCATAAGATGGAGAGATTACTTTGTACTTCAACTGTTCTTTTTTTGGGAGATTTTTGCTAGATTGTTGATGTAATGATATGTAGACACTCCTTTTATAATTAACACTTGATATATGGCAGTTCTTTGCCATGTCATACAGATTGATATTTGTACGCATGGTAGACAATAGTATGCACCATCATTTGTGTGCCACTTGTTGTGCATTATGAAAGCTCCTCTTGTTCTTCGGATTTTCTTTCTTTGAAAGTGAAATTTGTGTGATTGTCCTTGGTGCAATGGTGATGACCTTTTATATTCCTAGTTCATTTGGTATTCTTATTAAGTTGCTGACCTTTTTGGTTTTCTTTTCTTCCTTCAATTCTAGATTCAAGGTCAGAAAGAGATTGATGAGCTTAGAGTGGAATTACAAGAAATACATCAGCTGCATGGAGCAACAGTAAATGAACTTCTGTTGTTGAAAACAAAATATCAGGAGCTATTGATAGAGAAGGTATAGTTGGCTGGTGAAATTGGATAGGTTTGTTTAAGAATTTCCTTATTCAGCAGATCCCCACCTCTCATGCATGAGTTCTGTGTTAGGTTGAAATTTTATTATTTACTGGTCTTACTGTTTTTCTGTCCCCTGGAATTGTAGACGACCATAAAGGATGAACTTCATGTTGTGAGGCAAACCCTGTTAGTTGAGGAAAAACAAAGGAAGGCTTTTGAGATTGAACTGGTTAGCATAAAGAAGCTTGTGCCTGAAAGTGAAGATGGATATGAGGTAAGCTAGTTCCATAAAACTGTATATTCACTAGATCACTCATTTTCTGTGGATTCACATTCTATTTTTTTTGCAGGACAAGAGATCATATATGAAAGAAGATATAGCTAAAGGGTCTTCAGCATGTGGCACCCCATTGGGTTTACATAAATCAAACCAATCAAGGGAAAATTTTTTGGGTCAGAGGAATACTATTGCAAAGATATGTGAAGAAGGCAAGAGTTTTTGCTATTTTCGTGTATATATTAAAGATACATGTGTTAAAGTTTTCCTTATTTCTTGTGTATGAAAACAATGAAACAAATATTAGATTTTTCACTATGCAATTTTTAGGTTTTAGGTGTTTGATAATAATAAAAATAGTGTTCACTCGGGAAGACTAGAACCCAAGTCTCTGTTTTGATATCCTAGAGATCTGTCCCTGGGCAAAATTGTTTGATAGTATAACTTGAACAGTAAAATGTTGAATTTCCCCCTTATTTCTCTTCTGAAAAAAATTGACGAAATATTCTGCTTCTTGCTTCCAGTTGGGCTTCAAAAGATATTAGCATTATTAACATCTGGAGATCTAGATGTCCAAATCCATGCGGTGAAAGTGGTTGCCAATCTTGCTGCTGAAGGTAAATTACAGTAAAGATGTGTTAATACAGAAAAATTCTTCTAAAGATGTGTTAAAGTGGCAGGACTGATGGCATGACATTGAAAAGGGAAAGATTGGATTTAGGGGTTCAAATTTTATAGCCTGTGATCCTTCATTCTAAAGTGGGTCCCTTAAATTAGTTCATCATCTCTTTACCCTCCATTCCATATTATCTAGACTGAACAATATGACATTTTTTTGAGATCAAAAGGTTTCACTGCTGTTCATGACCTCTTGTTTATTAGGCTTTATCATCACTTAAAAGTGTTTAAGAAAAAGTTGAAAACATGCTGGAAAGTAAAATGCATAGACATGAAAGTCTGGTCTGTTCTGTTTTTATAGGGAACAGGTTGTAGATGAAATATTTCATTGATGCATGTAATTGGTTTTTTTTTTTGAAACTGCTTTTGTTCCAGATGTCAATCAGGAAAAGATTGTGGAGGAAGGGGGTTTAGATTCACTGCTCATGCTGCTGCGATCATCCCAAAATGCAACTATACTTAGGGTGGCTTCTGGAGCAATTGCTAATTTGGCAATGAATGGTACCCCTAAATCTTCACCTTCTTTTTGTTTATTATGCATTTATGCAATATAAGATGTGCATAAATGCATAATAAACTTCAACAATTCTTAATTGTTGAAGTTTGTTTGCCTTTATTTTCCTTCTCTTTTTGTTTTGGATCTGGAAGTGGCACTGGGATCCTGGTATAGTAAATCAGCATATCAATGATTTGGACAAAGCGACCTGAAGTTTCCTAACCTATCCTTCACAATGACAGGTTCTCTACTCGATGTTCAAGGCATGGACAACTCAAACATACACATGTATATATGGAAATACATGGTCAAATCCCCTATTGATACCTACCATCACGAATTTGAGCAAAACTTTGGTGAACTCAATTTTAAAATAGGAAAAACTATGTTATAAAATAATGGACTCATGATCTAAATTTACCAGTGAACTACACTTCCTGACCAAACCAAACTCAAGCTAAAATACGTTGGAGCCTTTTTTCCAAGCATCGGTACTATAGTATGAGCCTTATTGCTGCATTTTACTTCTTGAACAATGCTCTGTCTCACATGAATACCTTGTCACAAAAAGAATTTAAGATTTCAACATAATATGCTAAATACTTGATTTTTTATTTTCGTAGAGTTGAACCAAGGGTTAATAGTGAGTAAAGGAGGTGCTCAACTACTAGCAAATACAGCTTCAAAAACAGAGGATCCCCAGACTCTTCGAATGGTAGCTGGAGCAATTGCTAATTTGTGTGGAAATGGTAAGCTCAAGGTCATTCTGCAGTTGCAAAAAAGTAGTCACTGACACCGATCTTTGCTGCATCGTTTTCATCTTCAAAGATGGTTTGAATTCTCTGCTTGGTCTTCTAATGTTGTAACTGAGTGTACATGTGAGGAGCACCAAGTTGAGTTCAATGCGAGTTCAACTGAAAGCCTTGTCATCTTTAATGTTATGAAAATTATGAGGAATTGATATTATCTATTTTCTCATTTGATTGGAAAAAGGGAAGAGACATGCTGCTTGTGTTTATTTAGCATGGGAGAGGTTTAATGCTACAAATAATACTATCTATTGATCTAGACTGACTTGTTTCATAACAGAAAAGTTACATGTGATGCTGAGAGAAGATGGAGGTATCAAGGCACTCTTAGGAATGGTTAGATCGGGGAATATTGATGTCATTTCTCAGATTGCCAGAGGATTGGCAAACTTTGCTAAATGTGAATCTCGAGGAATTTGTCAAGGTTTGTGGAAGTTAAACTTTCTGCATGGTTACATACCTTTCACCTTTCGGAGACAAGCTTCTAAGTAATTTTACTTACAGGACATAGGAGTGGACGTTCACTTCTGATGGAAGATGGTGTGCTGACATGGTTGATTGCCAACTGTAATACAGCTTCAGCTTCAACTCGGCGTCATATTGAGCTTGCTCTTTGTCATTTAGCACAAAACGGTGAGCTACTTACAATTTATACATGCTGTGTTTGACTGATTAAAGATGTAGGATTGTTCAACTTGTGGTGATATGAAGTTTGGGGTTAACTAGATACATTGGAACTCTTGGGAGAAAACTTTCTGTTAGGACGAATAATGAGGAGCACGGCATAGAAAAGAAAAGGAAGCTATGTGGATACTTTGATCCTTTGTTGGAATAGCACGGAAACCATTAGTTACCAATTGTGAAGATATTCATAAGCAAATTAGTAATATGCGACAGTCCATTGCCCCAGATATTTATTCTAGATTGATTTTCTCGTCCACTCCCAAATTTATTGACCTTTTTTCATTATGAGTGGTATGTAAACAGTATCAATCATTGTGAAGAAACTCATAAAACTCTTAGTTGAACAGGATGCTCTGGAATGTCAATGCCCTCAGCTATTTATTTCTAGGTTGATTTTCTCAGGATCTTCAGCATTTTTTGACCTTTATGTAGTTTCGAAAGGATTACGGATGTAATATTTTGTTTGCATCTAATGAGATTGGTATCCTAGTCCTTTCTAGCTCAGTTATCGAGGGGGTTTGTTCAATTCCTATATTCCTGGGCTCAGCATGCCAATTCCATGACATATTGACTGCTTATTCTAGTGATGTGTTTTCTATATCTTTATACGATAATTTCGCAGGAGATATGATTTTTGTTAATCTCTCATCTTTCCTCCCTTTGCTTCGTTCTTTTTTTATTCCATTTTGAATAAAATCTTTCGAAGGGGCAGATAACAAAACAAGACTTGTGTTGTCGAACTTAGGTAGTTGAGACAAGGCTTTGTTGGTTGAGAGAGTATTGTATTGACTCATACAAATGTAAAACATCACCTTATACAGTCTTTTGCTTTATTGATTCTGATAAAAGATAATACAGCAATTTCCAGTTCTAACAAATATGTAGAGATAATGTCCCTATGCAAAGTTTCTTCAGGAAATGAACCGGCTACTCTCTGGTACATATTTACACCTCACTCTTCTGAAACGCTTTTACTTTCCTTAGTCAAACTAAATGAGAAGTATAAAACAGTAGGGTGGACAGTGGTGAAAACCCAAAAAATTATTCAGTGTAAGATATAGCATCAATTCATCGTTTTTGCCTTTTTGGAGTGACATTGATCATGCAGATAATGACCTGAGGATCTATCCAAGTTAGTAACAATCCCACTGGTGAGGTGAAGGATCATGACTCGATTCCTCTCCATGTTTTTCTCTCCCCCACCCCCCAGTAATGTAAATCATCATTGTAATCCAAAAATTTAAAAAAAAAATAAAAAATGAAGACATTTGAAAACTATTCTTCAAAACAATCATGCAGATAAAAAGCAATGCCCTTCAAACCCTTGTGTAATTTCTCCAATTTCGGCTCAGGCTGTGCTATTCCATTCATTGCCTATACATCTCATTTTCTATTGTGATGGATTTATTCATCCTTTGTTGTTTTTGTTCTCAAACGACCAGGAAGGTAGGTTATAGGATGACCCTATAATCTTAGTTGTAAAAGTTGGCCTCACTTTACAAGTACTGTATAATGGTTTGCAGAGGACAATGCTGGGGATTTTATTTCAAGTGGAGGGGTGAAAGAGCTTAGTCGGATATCAGTTGAGTCCACTAGAGAAGATATCCGGAACTTGGCAAAGAAGACACTGAAATTGAGTTTAGCATTTCAAGCTGAGATGCATGCAGAATGAACATGTACAAAGTGAGCATTTAAATTCTTTAAAGCTTATGTTGTTATCCGTCAGGCTTTTGATTATAGATAGGCCAATTGGACTGGGGTTTACATTCATTTGAATGCATTTACCATTGCTTAGTGCACAACATAAAGAAGCCTGATGAGAGTAATCTCAAAATTTTGAAGATGGGAAGCCTGAGCAGGAACCATTATATTTTAGAAAAATTACAACTTAGGTTTACGCTCCCTTCATCAGTGTCATTGTTTCGAAATCGTAGAAGTAGCCTTTCAAGAAACATGATTTGGCAAGACTGTTGAGAGATCATTGCAATAGATTTGTTACAATTTAATTCCTGAGCTGACTGATTGATTGTTTAACATCACGAAGCAATGTAAAGTAACTGAGTGCTCTTCATATTTGAATTTCTAAATTTTTAGATGTACTAGTATTTTTGGCGAGGTTGGCCTTTTAATCTTATGGGCTTTACTAAATTACGTTTCAATGGTATTTGTGAAAAATTATGGCAGATTACCTCTCTCTCTCTCTCTCACACACACACACACATGCACACACATTATCATTCAGTCAGACTGAGTTCTGTAATTTTGCAATATCAATTGAAAAATGCTTTACAATCATAAATTTCACACTCACCTTTCATGGTATAGATCGATCAAATAATTGCATTAGTGCGATTTAGCTGGCTGAATCACCCATTGATCAAATCATCTTCTTGCCCATCTTAAAAAGAAAACAAATAGTTTCTTCAAATTAATGAGTTTTTATCTCAAATATTCAATTGACCAATTATTTTTTTATTTGTACTCTATTTTTTTTTTTTGAAATATGAGCTAATAGCTGTTGATGTTTTCTCAAATTTTTTTGTAAAGCACCATGAGATAAAAGTCTTTTTTGTGCAACATTGAATTGTGTGCTTGATGTTGCATTCAAATTGATACATCATGTATATGTGTGCAAGATTAAATCGATTGGTTAAAATATAAATGAGCAGATTTATTGTGGCTAAAATATAAAAGAATACATTTATTGGTGTTAAAAGATTAAAATATAAGTCGTATTTGTTTTTTTTTTGGGGGGGCATCTTTTTTCATCCTCGCATTTTTGACATAGTAATTTGAGTGCAGGTGTGTGTAGATTTTTGTATTTATACGGCATACATGTTACTAAAAGTACAAAGAAATATCTTTGTCAAATGTGAGTCTATTTACTCTCAAAAGTAGTAGAAAAATGGACCAGTTCCTTAAGTTCTTTCTGGAAAAAATAACTCTACTCTATGTAATCAACATTAATAGGTAATAGGTCTGCCTTGGTTTTATTGTGTTATCTTTGAATGGGCAATTGTTTACCTTATTCTCTCAAAATATGAGAAGAGATAATCTAATTTCTCAGATTTTGAGAATCCTTTTTTGTAAGACTAGGTGTAATGCTCGGTCTCACGTTAGAGCGTGTGCCGAACGATGTTGTACATATATTAATTTATTTTTTTTGAAATAAATTTTTTACCTAACGGAAAAAAATATTAATAGGCTATCAAATTTGAACTTGAGGAAATATAAGCATCAGAATGCAATGAAACCGAGTCTAAAGATAAAGATAATGTAGCGCAATAAAAAAAACCCGAAAGAAAATTGCCTGCCCTATCTCCGAAAAATAACTAAAATATACGCACACAAAAAACCTATCAAAATCAGATATAGTTTAAGTTGTGGATGCAAAATATCAGAATGAGTTGCACTTGAAACCACTGATTGAAGTTGCCAACTACAGTATGGAAGAATTCCCCACCGATGCCTTCACTGAAAACAACTAACTATTTTTAGCAGTTAAATGGGAAAGCAGAATTCTACATATAAACTCCAGAATATAACGAGATTTAGAAGATACAAGACCGTCATACTCGAAGCTTTTGCTGAAGAAGGGAAAGCCGACAACAAAGTCTGTCGTGAGTAATAGCATAAAGCTCACCATTTTTTTTTTCTCAATCTCATACCATACTGCACCACACATAGATAACATAGGTTAACTACCTCTTTCAACTTCGGTAAGGGCAACCCACCAGGCCACAACCGCTACTCTTCCCAGGCCTAGCATCTCACTATTGCTTCATTGTAGTCTCTTTCCTTTCCCCTTTGGTATAGAATCTAACTTCTAACATATTTGTGCGCCTCGGAAAAAAGAAACTTTTAGTGATAAACATCGACTTTTAGTTAAAAAACATTGTGTTATGCACTCACAAGTGCAGTAGGTGGATCTAATGCTGGCCTCACTTCTTTAAAAACTAAAAACTTTTCTGGTTATTACAATGAATACATTCCACAAACACAATCGTCAAGAGATTTACAGGGCACTTTTGATCAGTTCCTACAACACTAAGCAGAAGCCTTCATAGTTTCTCATATAAGAACAACAGCACTCAAAATTGATATTACAAATGAAAAGACTAATAAAAGAAGATGTAACATTGTCATCCTAAAACTAACAACAATACTCACCAAAATATACCAAAAAGGGTGACACGCGAGGTAGCAACTCCAGTGGAAATGAATGCTGCCGGAAATGACACCTGCATCTGATCTCAGCATCCACAGTCAAATTCAAATTCTTATACACACTAGCAACACCGAAAAATGACAGCCTCCGTCGTGCTGCTACCTAAATAATTAGTTTGCGTTCATATTTGCTTCTGGGGCTCCCTTACATGAATAATCGCTCTTCATCCTCAATTGACAATGCTAATGGGACAAGATCTCTGTAACCCTGTCCTGTGCATCAATTGGAATCTCCCTTCCAGGGACCTGAACTTTTAGAAGGTTATTGTACCTGCCAACAACATATATTTTATTTTTAACTGCAATATTTATAACTTATTCCCCAAACATATACTGCAAGGTCGCTGTAACAACTCACTCTGCAACTGTGAACAAGTGTTCATGCTCCGTAATAAAGGCAAGCAATGCCTGCAAACAGTTTAACCATAGTGACCTTCCGATGACAACATAAATGTTCTATTAACTTTGTTTTTACATTTTTGAAGTGGCAATATGAATCCGTCCAAAATAAAAAAAGTGACAACATGAAGGTAAAGCATGGCTCAGATGACTTACCTCAAATGGCATATTTAACAGTTCATAGTAAGTCCGAACACGATCTAACCTCAACTGTACAGCTTCACTGTCAATTGATGGGATAGCAGCCAGAGCCTACAACGATTTTTAATAAAAATTATAATGAGTTATGTAACTCATTATAATATAACACGAAATGACGCATGTGACAGCCAAGCTTTTCTAGGTGACATGAATAGTAACAATGTGAAACAATAAAAGAAGTTGCATCATGGGACAACCATTGTCAACAACATTGTTGGCTATTTTGATCCTACATATTATTCTCTCTAACAATTGATGGAAAAATAATTGACGATATTGCATAGTTTGAAGGCATTGAGAATGAGGAGGAAACAACTAAAGTTTAATTTGTAAAAATAGAGTTTGTCGATAAAGGAAAAAATAAGGATGACTCTTTTTTGAAATTACAATTGAAGATGCAAACAACTTTTTGTGAACAGGTACTAGAAGAAATCAATCTTAGATATAAAGCAGAAATAGACAAACATAGACATATTGAGTTATCTCATAAAATAATAACCCGATTGCGAGTTTTTTCAAGAGTGAGGGTTTGATGTAGAACAAGAATGAATCTTATATTATTTTGTGAGCCCAATAGTTAACGTGCCTCAAATAAGATGTCATTACTTAGCCCAATTTATAGTAATTTCTTGGGTAGAAGTTTTTAGTGATGTATTAAATAAGGTAGTTGAGAGATAGTTAAGGTAGACACGGACACGAACACGCAGACACGACAAATATAAAAAAAGTAGCACACAAACACGTTGGAGACATGTTATAGATAAGTATGTTTTTATATATAAAATTATATAATTTATCACAAATATAGTGATAGTGATATATTATTCATAAAAAATTCAGTATTTTATGATAAGTAAATGTTATCTCTAGTCATTTAGTGTGAATATTCCCACTAACATCATAATAATAATTAATTATCATTTTTTTCTTAGACGTGTATTATAGATATATTCTTTAAATGACTGTTCTTTCTAAATTTTTTATATATCTTTTGTTTTTATTATTATATTTTAAGTACAATTTTAACATGTCTAGTCTTAGTAATTATATGTCCTCTCATAGCATAAAATACTTAATAGTCAAATTTTTAAGCTTATTAATCACATGTCAATACATGTTTATTATTTAGTAGTAGACATTGTTTAAAGAAGTGTTAGACACGTCATCAAAGCAGTATCGGATACGTATCCAAAATTAAAATTTTATCATTTAATTATGAACACGGATAAAAGAGTATCGAACACGTATCCGAAGAGTATCGGGGTCCGACACGTGTTCGACACGGATACATCACCTTCTTGAGAGTGTTCGTGATTCATAATTGGGAGATGGTAAAAGTATTACTGTAAATAGTTAAAAGATGTATTTAATTAGGTAGTTGGAAGATGCTACAAATTTTCCTTGAGCCTTATAAAAAGGGCCCTTGTATAATCATTTGAGATATTCAAAGTTTGAGAATCAGTAATATTTTCAGAGTTCTCTTATTTTATTTGTGTATCAGAGCGTGAGTGTTTACAAGAGGGAACGGTGATTCCCTTGTGTTTTTTGCTTACCGATGTTGTGTCAATAACACAATAAAAGAATCTTCCCAATTTTTGTAAGAACAAACATGAGACATATTCGCTTGTCTAATCGAATGTCAATTAGTGAAAGAACACAATAACTTGCACTATTGAGACATATTTGCAACAAGAAACACAAGAAAAGTGAAAAAAAAATTAACCTGTTCCAATGCAATTGAATTCCGACATATCTGTTGAACCCCAAAAAGGTTGATGGATTTCATATCAGCCAAAGCCTAATAAGACATTTCACAGTCTCGGTTTAGAAATGAATAAGAGGAACATGACTGGTTCCTGAAAAAATTTCTGTTGAAACCTGAAATATAAGCAAGTGAAAATTTGTGACATCCAAACCTTAATTGATGCATTTGATGCAACACTGCATATGCCACCAAATATATAATTCCGCTTTGATCCGGCAACAAAAGGAGCCATTTCCTCATCCCGACGTGTAATCTATGGATGCAAGAATGGAGAAGATATGAAAATTTGATTCCATGAACTATCACAATGATAGGGAATAATATACACCTCAGAGAAAATGGAATTGAAGGAGATCCTAAGATATTCTGGTCGGTTTCTTGCTTTCACTTTCTAAATATGTCACTTCAAATTTGAGTGTGATGAGAAGTCATAAGAGGGGCATGTTCAATAACATAATATACTGAATAGGCCATCCATTTTTTGGTCAAAATTATATTTTTTTCCTTGTACAAAAATTCTCATAGTTTTTGTTGAATGAAATACTTACTTTATTTACATGAACAGAATATACTAAATTAATATATTTTGCACCGACATATCTCCATGCATCCTAAATGTATCAGGGGTGCATCCTCAGTATATCTAGTATATATGAAAGATTAAAATATTATATATTTTAAGATTATGTGAGACATACACTTAGTAGTTGAGGTGTGTCTGCATCCAATCTAATAAGGATGCTGCAACCTTGGTGTGAAACATCCATGCTTCACAGGGTGTGAGAGGTAAGGAAAGAAAGTGAGAGTGGCGATCAGTGTGGTGGTGGAATAAGAAAGGGCTGATCAAGCAAGTTGGCATATGTTGGTGTATGTTGGTGATAGACATTTAGGCCACCATAAGTTGGAGTATGTTGGTGATGTACACTTAGGCCAGGAGACCTTGACATATCAATTCCCTAATGGTTTTTTAGGCCATGAGATCTTCACATTCTATTGGTTTCTTGANAAGGAAAGAAAGTGAGAGTGGCGATCAGTGTGGTGGTGGAATAAGAAAGGGCTGATCAAGCAAGTTGGCATATGTTGGTGATAGACATTTAGGCCACCATAAGTTGGAGTATGTTGGTGATGTACACTTAGGCCAGGAGACGTTGACATGTCAATTCCCTAATGGTTTTTTAGGCCATGAGATCTTCACATTCTATTGGTTTCTTGAAGCATCAGATTAGGTTGGGTTTCGCTGCATAATCAAATTTGAAAATAATATAAATTAATTTAACATGTCAAAATCATATATTGATGAGGAAAAAAAGANTGCATCCTAAATGTATCAGGGGTGCATCCTCAGTATATCTAGTATATATGAAAGATTAAAATATTATATATTTTAAGATTAAAATACACTTAGTAGTTGAGGTGTGTCTGCATCCAATCTAATAAGGATGCTGCAACCTTGGTGTGAAACATCCATGCTTCACAGGGTGTGAGAGGTAAGGAAAGAAAGTGAGAGTGGCGATCAGTGTGGTGGTGGAATAAGAAAGGGCTGATCAAGCAAGTTGGCATATGTTGGTGATAGACATTTAGGCCACCATAAGTTGGAGTATGTTGGTGATGTACACTTAGGCCAGGAGACGTTGACATGTCAATTCCCTAATGGTTTTTTAGGCCATGAGATCTTCACATTCTATTGGTTTCTTGAAGCATCAGATTAGGTTGGGTTTCGCTGCATAATCAAATTTGAAAATAATATAAATTAATTTAACATGTCAAAATCATATATTGATGAGGAAAAAAAGATATTATAAATAACTAAAATCTATTCTTCTATGAATTGGAGTTAAATGGCGCATCCACTTCAGTTTTAGAGAGAGGTGTGCCTATGATTTCCTCCCCGTTACCTTATATTCATTACATTCCTCATCCATTACAGTGTCACTACTACTGTGGCTGTTACCATTATTTAAAATGATTATTTGTTCTTCTCTTCCATTAGATTTCCTTTGAGGTAGAATTTTGTTCGTCGCTCAATTATGGACCACATCCACTTGAATTTTTAATAGTAATTTGCTCTGTTTTTTCTCTTTTTAGAGGATATCTTGTACTCCATAATGTAACTCTTTTCTCTCTTCCCTTCCTCAATAATATTCTTTTTTTATCCCAAAAAAATAAAACATGGTCTCTCGTACTTGTTGATCAAACCAAAAGACAACGCGACTGACCTGAGCAGTTAACGAAATTACAAAATCATCGGGCTCCTCTGCATCTTGGTCCTCCAAGTATTCCCTACTCGTCATTTCCTGTTAAATTCAATGCAAACTCGATTGCAAATTTAATATTGCGTAATCACATCCGTTTTGACAAATGATTAACATCTACGTCACAAACCTGCATATGGAAAATTGTCTCCAATTGCATCTCTATGCGTAAAACCTTCAAGCAGTCAATAGCCAGTTTTCTATACTCTTCAGCATATGATACCAAGTCCTTAGGTGTACTTCTTGTTCGAGTATGATGAGGAGGTTTCTGCATGTCATTTTCTTCCCCTTGATTAGATGCTCTTGTGGATGTCTTTCCGAGCCTGTTTATTGCATGAGATATAGAAGAATCAAGAAATAGAAGAAGTAACTCATAGAAGATATGCAATGAAATTTTAGTAATAGAAGAAGTACACAGTGAAAAAGTTAAGATTAAAAATTAAGAAATACCAACGAATAAACAGTTTATATATCTAAAATGATGGAGAAATTGGAAATTACGTAACTCATAGAATTAACGCCGGTTGGCTTAAGTGGAGGAAAGCATTTGACATATTATGTGATAGAAGAATACTAATAAAATTGAAAGATAAGTTTTACCGAACAGCTATAAGGACAACAATGTTGTATGTGACAAAATGTTGGGCAACTAGAAAACAACATAGTGACAAAATGAGTGTAGCGGAAATGAGAATGCTAAGGTGGATGTATTGAAAAACTAGAAATAATAGAATACGAAATGACCATATTAAAGAAATGGTAGGAATAGCTTCCATTGAGTATAAGTTAAGAGAGAATAGATTAAGATGGTGTGGTCATGTTCAAAGAAGGCCAATAGAGGCACCAATTCAAAAAAGTGAGAGAATTGCTATTAATGGTATTAGAAGTATGGGTAGACCTAAATTAACATTGAACGAAATAATAAGTAAATATATGAAAAAATTTAACTTAAATGAGCGTATAGCGTATGATCGAAATGAATGGCGAAGACGGACTCAGATAGTTGATCTCAAATGATTGGGACATGAGACTTAGTTTGGTTTGGTTATTAGCCACCGTATCTAAATCTACATATTGTGTTATAATGAGCCTAAAAGTTGATGCAAGCTGAAGTGTAAGTTCCAGAGAAATTATATCCGCATCTCACCTCACTACCACAGCATATAGTTTAGTGTATGTGATCAGGTGAAGGAAAGTAGTGTATTTTTGGGAACCATGTCAGTACATTTGTCAAAAAAATTATTTACTACTGTAAAACTAGATACCTTGAAGATGATTAAGAAAATAATGGAAAATGGGCTAAGCAAAACCCCATATGAGCAGAACATTACCATGATTAACATCAATCATGTATAAATACATATTTTCAAAAGGAAAATATCAGTAATGTGATGTTATCTAAGAGTCACACATCACGGTTAACATCAGCACCTCCTATATGAAAGATAACAGCACACAATGCTGAGAGTTTAACATTCAATAAATGCACTCCAATGCACAGTAAGAAAGAATTGGCCACTAAGCAACAGGTGCCTAAGATGAAAATACTTTGCAAAGCTAGGCATAGCAGCATAAATGGTAACAAGAGGGTCGCAAATAAGTATCCCTACAACTCCGAAAGTTAAACAGTCAGACAGTGCCAATTGAACGGCCCGAAAGTAACATGAGATGCCATCGGGCTGTTTAATAATCTGCCCACTAATGTTTTCTTGCAGCCAACCAATGAATTGATATGAAGGCATAAGATGCAGGCAGGACTCAAGCCATAACATGACAGCTCAGTGCACGAGGAGGCTCCACCATTGCCAAGCAATCTGGGGAGGGTCAGATTCATGCAGTCTTATCCATACATGCGAAGAGACTGAATAAAAATGAAACAGAAGGAAAACTGGAAGGCTNTTGGTTTGGTTATTAGCCACCGTATCTAAATCTACATATTGTGTTATAATGAGCCTAAAAGTTGATGCAAGCTGAAGTGTAAGTTCCAGAGAAATTATATCCGCATCTCACCTCACTACCACAGCATATAGTTTAGTGTATGTGATCAGGTGAAGGAAAGTAGTGTATTTTTGGGAACCATGTCAGTACATTTGTCAAAAAAATTATTTACTACTGTAAAACTAGATACCTTGAAGATGATTAAGAAAATAATGGAAAATGGGCTAAGCAAAACCCCATATGAGCAGAACATTACCATGATTAACATCAATCATGTATAAATACATATTTTCAAAAGGAAAATATCAGTAATGTGATGTTATCTAAGAGTCACACATCACGGTTAACATCAGCACCTCCTATATGAAAGATAACAGCACACAATGCTGAGAGTTTAACATTCAATAAATGCACTCCAATGCACAGTAAGAAAGAATTGGCCACTAAGCAACAGGTGCCTAAGATGAAAATACTTTGCAAAGCTAGGCATAGCAGCATAAATGGTAACAAGAGGGTCGCAAATAAGTATCCCTACAACTCCGAAAGTTAAACAGTCAGACAGTGCCAATTGAACGGCCCGAAAGTAACATGAGATGCCATCGGGCCGTTTAATAATCTGCCCACTAATGTTTTCTTGCAGCCAACCAATGAATTGATATGCAGGCAGGACTCAAGCCATAACATGACAGCTCAGTGCACGAGGAGGCTCCACCATTGCCAAGCAATCTGGGGAGGGTCAGATTCATGCAGTCTTATCCATACATGCGAAGAGACTGAATAAAAATGAAACAGAAGGAAAACTGGAAGGCAGCTAAATTTGTTTTTTATTCTGGTGATATACTATTGAGACTGACACTTTGCCAATATGTCCCAATTGATATGAGAGTGAGTGAAAGCAAAAACTGCTAAAAGCAAATATCATGACAATAATTATAGAAAACTTCCCAGCCCAACGTGCCTTTTTCAAAAATTGTCTAAATATATAATATGTGGAGCAAAAGAATTCGTAATGCATTTTTTCCCATGAGATGTTTACTCAGATCTGGCAGCCTAATTTATATACATGCCAATTTCCTTGTTTTAATAATACATCATGAGTGAATTAAGTACAGGAATATGGAGACACATAAACAAATGAATCAATTTCGTAGCACAGAATCGTCTTTTAGAGGTTCTGAAACATAATATTAACAGCATGACCTAAACATCTGTCCTCGTGTGAGCATTATCCACCAAATCAATCTTCACAAAAAGTGAATCTGGTGTAAGTTTACGACTGCAACATGATGAGAGAACTTGCCTTTCTATTGAATCTGCAACATACTCCAATGAATCACTTAGGGATGCCAACAAAATAAGTTTGTTATCATCACGGATTAGATTCTCCTGCAGGATAGAAACGGCAAAAAATGTGCAATTAAGGTATCATTAGTACAAAACTTCTATTTCTGGGACATTGTAGTGACCACAAAACCTAGTGGGCCATAAATATTGTGAAGAAAGTAATTTCTAACAGCCTGCTCGCAGTAAAGAACAAAAATCCCGGCAGGTAACAACACACAATAGCCTCCAATGATATAGATACCTGCTTGATTGGACGCAAATTTAGCAATAACTCACTCATGTCCATCTCAACCTCCACAGATTCAGCATCAGAAGCATTGATTTCCATGTTACCCAGGCCAAGTGAATTTGGTAAGCATGCACTGGCCGGATCAACTCGCATCAGGTTCTCAACATCATGCCTCCCAATGAGCATATAACTTTGCTTCTCCAGAACTGCCTGATATATTACCCAGAAAAAATATTTAACCATAATAAGGAAGGGAAAATTTAGCAAAACCACAGAATGTTTGCAAAATACAAGTGCTTTTTACCCAAAAAATGCCATCTTCTAAATATTCACCCCTAAAAAACCCATTTAAATACTATTGTAGACAGATAATTCACATGCATTGAGCCTTTTCTCTACTTTTACTTTCATTTCTTTATTCGTTTTCTTGTTGTTTGTTTGTCATTATAAAAACATTTACTTTTACCATGAGTCCTCTACAATCTATATTTCTTTCTTTATAGACAAATCTTTCATGAGTAACTCTATGAGCGAGAGAGAAAACCCCTTCGGTTAAAGTCGTCTTCAAAGAACAAATCTATTTTGTCGTTTCCAATAGTAAACAACTACTTAATTACATGTCCAGTCAGGGAAGTAATCCATAGTATTTAGCAACAACTCTATACTCATTTTTTTTTTTTTGGGGGGGTGGTAAATCTATGAGCATGATGTCACTTTAGTGTACTGAAAAGTTGAGAGAGAGGTAAACCAAGGGTAAATGCATGTCCAAAAGACACCAGTTTTAATTACCTAGAAATAATGGATAATCAAGTANGGGGGGGGTGGTAAATCTATGAGCATGATGTCACTTTAGTGTACTGAAAAGTTGAGAGAGAGGTAAACCAAGGGTGAATGCATGTCCAAAAGACACCAGTTTTAATTACCTAGAAATAATGGATAATCAAGTACGAAAGAATGAATGGGAATCATCTATAAAATTAGCACAACCAATTTAATTTGAATCTAAGGACAACAAGGACGTCAGAACAAAGGTAAAATAGATGAAATGGCGTTACCACAAATTCTAAGGGTGCCATGTGATACATTCGATTTTCAAAAGGGATTGCCAAGTAAAATGCATGTTGGATTTCATGAAATTTCAGTGAGTTATGGGTAATAAGAAGGCAAGATAATCAGGCCGCAAAAGAACCGAGGAAGAAGAAATTTAAAGAAAATAAAATTTGGCTCAACTCGATACGAAACACGAGAGAGCTGAATTTCTTTAAAAATTTTACACTCTTTGTTATAGTTTAATGAAATAGGCTTTGTAGAATTGGAGTAGTATGTAACTTATTGAATTGTTGCTGCTAGGAGTCTTTTCAGACTTTGTTTAAGAACTGTAAAGTAAGCTCTCATGGCAGCCTTGGTATTGTAGCTTAACAATAGGTTTTGGACTAGGTTCGATGGGTTTAGTAGGTCCAAACAAACATCCAAGTCTTCAGTTTCACATGGCGTCCAAAAATTACTGGGTCACCAATTTTACTTGAGGACCAGCACCTCCAACCAATAGTCCTCTACTTATATATCAGTTTATGTTTGGAGTATTGCGAGAAGAAGAGTCCATCCACTAAAATGTGTGATGTACCTTCTTTTGGGTTTAAAGCCTAAGACACGAGGCATGATGCCTAGGCCTTTATATTAGACTACGACAGCAAATTTTCTTGATTTAGAGCGTGGAGATTCATCTTTCTTGCATTCTTTCTACTCTCAATGGCCTTCCTTTGATCTATTTCTTGAGACTATTTTACTCGCAGTAAATAAAAGGGTAACACACATTTAATTAAGATCCTGCTCCTGCAACACCAGGGGTATGGGGTACCATTTTAAATTTGTAATATTAGTTTTTGCTCAACAGCTTAAGATATTGGCAACCTTCTTACCAAGAAGAGGAAACATAATGTTTTAGCGAGGGTGTATTTGAAAAAATATATATTTTCCCCACCTCATGGAAATTATATAAGAAAGCTAAAGGTGGAGAAAGAGTAAGAAGCATGGTAGAATTACAGATTTTTGCAAAAGAAGACAAAATGGCAGAAGTCCATTGGCTGGCAAGGGTCCCCAAGTAAAAATCTATATCAAAATTGAAAAAAGAAACAAGTAGAGCTTAATTTAAAATATTAAAATTAATCAAAATTTGCAACTTTATATTATATGATAGCATAATTGCCCACCCTCTTACTTTAGTGACAATTTGTTGGATAAATTTATGGCAATTAGGAATAAAACTTACATACCTTGACAGCATGGAATATGCTATATTGCTATGCTACCAAATGATAAACTGAAGCTAAAATACTTATTTACGATAAATAAAATGTCACCCTACCATGGCAAAATATGTGAGACAAATCCTTGTTGCAGATGTAGGACACTTTCCATAAAAATCATAACAGATCACCCGTGCTGTACTTATTCCTTATCTCAAGTTTCTCAAAACATTGGAGTCAAAAGCTTATTTTTCTTCCCTTTTCTCATTAAAGATTTCAACTAGTGGTTTGGTTTCTACAGCTAATAACTTTGTTGCTCAGTGCTATAGTACAAAGGAAAATAATGGATTTGTTACTTAGTCTTGATCTGTGTGAATTGTGCAAAAGAACTATGGGTTTTTATTTTCTCTCTCATTTTTCTACAAGCCATCTAAAGCTTTTTTGGTAAACTAAGTCTTTAGTAATCACTTCCTGCTTTATACATATTCAAGTGTAATTATATTTACACAAGAAGACANTTCTCATTTTTCTACAAGCCATCTAAAGCTTTTTTGGTAAACTAAGTCTTTGGTAATCACTTCCTGCTTTATACATATTCAAGTGTAATTATATTTACACAAGAAGACAAATGAATCCAAAAACTAGAGCAAACATAGGGGATGATGCAAATATCCGACGATGAAATGAAAGAAACAATGCTACAAGTTTGAAAAAAAGGAACCAGAGAAATATCCATGCCTCCATGTATGAAGTCCGGCATCTTTCATATGTTCGTTCAAGGAAAGTTTGTACATACTTCACAAGATCACCAGAAAATTTGGGCATTGCTTGAGCCCAACCAAGTACCTAGTGCAAGAGACATGTTGTTTAAATGCAAAGCTTATAAAATTCTGACAGAGGAGTAATTCTGATAATTAAGCATGGTATTAGAAGCAAGAAAATTAATGAGATCGGAAACGTATTAGTAGATCAAAATAATGAAAGTGGTACTCCACTATCCACATCATTCCAATCCAAAATTTCTAATAAATAATGCACTATAGCCAGACTCTGCTTACTACAAAGGCTAAGCATAAGTCAAACTACAATTTTATAGCATTACAGATTAAATAAAAATGAGAGAGAGAGAGAGAGAGAGAGGAGATTAAAGCATACCTCTTTTGCTAAGAAATCAATAGCCAAAAGTCCTTGTAAGACAGGTCGCCCCTTCTCAACCAGCGGCATATAAATAGCAGCAGCATGTGCTCGTGGGCGAAATGCAGCTGGACCTACAGCAAAAATTTTGGAATCAGTTTCCATGGCACACCAATTCTATAAAATAAACATGGACAGTCCTTTATGATTAACGATCTCTCAATTAATCATTCCAATAACAAGCACAATGTCTCAACCAAGCATGCAATCTTGTTTCTTATCTGTCCTGCATATAGCTACAAATATGCTGATATGTGTTGAGCATCAACTGAACGTTCATGACCTCATTTTCTGAGCTAGCACACATCAAATACTATAACACTGGTGTCAACTTAAGCGTCCTCATTTTTTGAGCTGGTACACATCTTGTGGAAATATAAATGCTCATTTTCTAAGCTTTCACGCATTATTTGTTGCATTTTCCTCCTGTCAATTTCGTCATATTGTGAGTTTGCACACATCATATGGAAGAAAAACATATGATATATGGCATCGTTCCCATTCTCCACAAGCAGGTAGCCAACATGACATTGATGCTCTATTATTTTCCTTTTTTCTTTTAACCATTTTGATATGGCTTTTGTGGTTTTACTACCATTAATTTTTGAGTCAATAACTACATCAACATATTAAGGTTGTAGAGATCAAAGTGCCAAACATGAGTTCATATCAGACCAAGCACCCATGTAGCATGGATGGGTTACCAGCACCTTAAAACAATTAATCATTGATCATGTAACCTGAGAGAACATCCCAGATAGAGTTAACCTGGCTGTGCCTTTAAATGCATAATTGGAAGACAATACATGTTCATCCTTACATTTAAGAACTAATAAATAGCAAGTGGACAAAAATAAATTTAAACAATTGATATTGACCGACTGAAAATGTAATAGTTTATAGAACTTGCTTGATATGGCTTGCTGCACGCCTTTTCTGTATTCTACAAACATTGTCGGTAAGAAGTGGTCCTTAACAAAGTTCTCCACAAATGCTAGCAATCCATCTTTCCTGCAAATTTGAAAGTGTATAACACAAAGCTATGTTATCATAAACAAACAATGTAAAACCTCAGCTCTAGCAGCACCCTTATTCCAACACTTCATTTGGTTCAAATAAAAAGAGCATTGTTACATTCTTTACACTAAAACCATCCACAAAGAGTGAGAAATAGAGGTGGTGGGGAGGGAAGGAGCTAAGTACACTGCTCAGAGGTGTCAGCTACATAACCNAACTTCATTTGGTTCAAATAAAAAGAGCATTGTTACATTCTTTACACTAAAACCATCCACAAAGAGTGAGAAATAAAGGTGGTGGGGAGGGAAGGAGCTAAGTACACTGCTCAGAGGTGTCAGCTACATAACCAAGTAGAAACAAGTAACCATAGAGAACAGTCAGGAAACTCCAATGCCTTACCTGAATTATAATTATTTTTGAAGTACACCTTTGGGAAAAAAGCCATTTATCCATAACTAATGAACTTCTAATCCGAAAAAAGGACATTTATCTTCAGATATCCTGAACAGTGTTTGACTGGGTCAATTTAAAAGAAAATACTAGAACTTCTCATGTCAGACTCTTTAAATTTCGCTACATAATGCTTCCAAAGGTTTGCATAATTCTACATTTCCATGTAGAACAACTTAATATTGATGTGGTGGTGTTGCCCCCACAACCTTCAAGAACTGATGAACTCAAGAAAACTAGTCAAGCCGACTGACCAACTAGATCTGATTACCAATCCTTATCTTGAATTCAAGAAACCTCCTTGGAAAGGCAGACCAGATTAATATATATATCTACTCTAGGCTTATTTCACACTCGGAGCAAGAGAATCAAAAATTGCTGGTGTTTCTCAAACTAAGAGAAACAATTATTACCAAATTGAGTCTAGACCTTCTGCCAGTGATGCTGAAAGAGAATTCTACTTGGGAGACCTCTGACATCATCCATGGTGATTTATTTTCCCAACAACACTCAAATTTATTTGTTTCCCCAGCCTCCTTACATGTGGAGTGCGTGTACATCTGACCCTACAGTAGCGAGAGTATTGAGAATAATGAGTGACTCATATTCACTAGGCCTGCTAACTTTAATGCAAATACTGTCTATTTAGTTTTGCTTTTAGATAGGGATGTGTATCCTGCCAAAAGTCAATGAGGCAGTTCAGCGGTAATACTATTTTGGTTGCTAGGGTCGAACAATAGGTAGGGGAATGCGAGAATACCCTGCAGCTAGGAATGGGTACATGTGGATTGCAAATGTTTTCCAATGTATTTCTGGTAGATGAGTTTTACTAGAATTTGGTAAGTTAGGAAGTTTACCAAGAATTGATTTATCAGATTTACTAGTACTAGGTTTCCTAATTGAACCAGAGTTAGGGTTATTAACTGGTGCCTATAAATATGTTATAACTCTTGGAATTCTAATATAACAATAATAAAGAAAAGTTGTTCTTATGGATGCAGGTAAGATTTCTTTCAAGCCACATAAATCTTGTGTGTTTTTTTTTTTCTTCTTGATTGTTCACCATATTACACATTCACAACAAATTGGTATCAGAGTTGTTGGTTACTCGACACAATGGCAAGGAATTCTTTATTGGCCAAGTACAAAGTTGTGAAAGCTGATGGCACTGGAATTTCGGGTTATGTTGGTGAAGGCGTTCGAAGAAAAAGTGAAGAAACCCGAAAAGATGTCGGCAAATGATTTGGAAGATCTCTAGATGAAGGCGATGAGTACAATTTGCCTTTATCTAGCAGATGGGATGAAGAATCTCCTTCAGATGTGTGGAAGAAACCGGAGAGTTGATTCATGTCAAAATCTTTATCGAACAAGCTCTATTTTCAGTAGAAGTAATATGGGCTTAAGATAGTGGACGGTTCGGATTTGGCTCAACACATCATTCTGCTCAATCAGATTATCAACAATTTGTTGAGGATTGATATCAGTTCAAGGAGGAAAATTAGGCACTGATGTTTCTAACCTTTCTTCCTGCTTCATACGAAAATTTGGTTACAACCCCATTGTATGAGAACAAGACGCTGGAGATTNGATCACTTCAAGGAGGAAAATTAGGCACTGATGTTTCTAACCGTTCTTCCTGCTTCATACGAAAATTTGGTTACAACCCCATTGTATGAGAACAAGACGCNTATCAGTTCAAGGAGGAAAATTAGGCACTGATGTTTCTAACCTTTCTTCCTGCTTCATACGAAAATTTGGTTACAACCCCATTGTATGAGAACAAGACGCTGGAGATTTCAGGAGCCCTATTGACGTATAATCAGCGAAGGCAAAGTACCGCAAAATGATTCCAAGGTGAAAAACTCATAGCAAAGGGTAGTCAAGCTCGTGGGAATAGGAGAAGCAGGGCCATGAATCAAATCCAGACACAAAGAAAACAAGTCAAAATCTCAATCCAAACTGGACATTTAAGTGCTTCAACAGCAATAAGAGNCCCGCAAAATGATTCCAAGGTGAAAAACTCATAGCAAAGGGTAGTCAAGCTCGTGGGAATGGGAGAAGCAGTGCCATGAATCAAATCCAGACACAAAGAAAACAAGTCAAAATCTCAATCCAAACTGGACATTTAAGTGCTTCAACAGCAATAAGAGAGGGCATATGAAACGAGAATGTCCCAAGTGAAAGAAGAGGAATGGAAGAGAAGAAAGAGGGACGGCCAAATTCAGCAAATCTAGCAAAAGAAAATTCTGACTATGATGATAGTAATATGTTGTCGGTCTCAGCATATTATAATCAAATGATGGACTCATGGATTCTGGATTATGAATGCTCTTATCACATGTCTCCTAATCGATTTTGGTTTGACACCTACATGCCATTAAATTGTGGTACAGTTCTAATGGGTAATGATGCATCATGTAAAGTCATTGGAATTGGCTTAGAATCAAGATGTTTGATGGTGTTGTGAGAACTTTGGATGAGATCAGGCATGTTCCAGATTTGAGAAAAAACCTGATTTCTTTAGCAACCTTAGACTCCAATGGCTACAATTATAAGGCAGAAGGTAGAGTCTTGAAGATAACCAAAGGTACTATAGTTATTATGAAAGGTCGGAAGATTGCAAGAAATATCTACAAGCTAGTAGGGAGTTTTGTTGTAGGTAGAGTTTCTGCAGGTACATTATTTGAGCCTGAAACAGATGACACTTTGTTCTGGCATATGCGGTTAGGGAATATGAGTGAGCATGGCATGATGGAGCTGCATAAAAGGAAGTTGTTGTAGGGGGTTAAATCATGTGAGCTGGATTTCTGCAAGTATTATACTCTCACCTAGATAATTCGAGAAGGCAAGCCTAGAAGCCGGTGTAGTGTATATGCTGGTGGGTAGAATTAAAAAGAGCAAACAGTTGGAAGAAAATTCGGATCAATTCCCAGAAGTTTAAAAACAGTTTTAGGTCATTTTGGAGCTGGTTACCAAAGAGTTACCCAAGGGTTTGCCACCACTAAAAAAAGAAGTGTACAACATGCAATAGATTTTGTACCTGGATCTACCTTACCAAAGTAGGCTACATACCGAATGCCTCCCACGCAGCATGCTGAAATAAAAAGACAAGGTGAAGACTTAATTGCAAAAAAAGGATTGGTTGAGAAATGAAAGGCCCATGTGTTGTTCCAGCATTTTTGTCACTAGAAAAACAATGCAACGTCTAATTTAAATCTACCAAGCACAAGACCGAGGGCATCCTTGATTACATACACTCTGATGTGTAGCGGCCAATGAAAGTAGCTTCAAATGGAAGCTTCAGGTATTTTGTTACTTTCATTGATGATTATTCCAAGAAGGTTTGGGTTTACTTCATAAAGCAAAAGTCAAAAATTTACATAAAATTCAAACTGTGGAAAACTGGAGTAGAAAATCAAACCAGGAAGAAAATTAAGTATTGCAAAATGGATAAAGGAACGAAGTATAAGAATGCGGAGTTTATGAAGTTCTGTGAGGAGCATGGCATCAAGAGACATCTGAATTCTGACAGTTCGTAAGACAACTTAGCAAAGTGGAATCACAAAAAGGTTAAACAAAACAATTGTAGAAAGGGCTAGATGTTTGTTATTGAACGTTGGGCCTCCAAAAAATTTTTGGNAGGCCAATGAAAGTAGCTTCAAATGGAAGCTTCAGGTATTTTGTTACTTTCATTGATGATTATTCAAGAAGGTTTGGGTTTACTTCATAAAGCAGAAGTCAAAAATTTACATAAAATTCAAACTGTGGAAAACTGGAGTAGAAAATCAAACCGGGAAGAAAATTAAGTATTGCAAAATGGATAAAGGAACGAAGTATAAGAATGTGGAGTTTATGAAGTTCTGTGAGGAGCATGGCATCAAGAGACATCTGAATTCTGACAGTTCGTAAGACAACTTAGCAAAGTGGAATCACAAAAAGGTTAAACAAAACAATTGTAGAAAGGGCTAGATGTTTGTTATTGAACGTTGGGCCTCCAAAAAATTTTTGGGCCGAGGCTGTGAATATGGCTCACTACATCATTAATAGATCACCAAGGGTTGCACTGGAGGGGAAGGTTTTTGATGAGGTATGGACAAGGGAAGAAGTAGACTATCCATGATGACAGTATTTGGGTGTCCAGCTTATATTCATATTCCTAGTGACGAAAGGTCAAATTTGATCCAGAATCCTAGAAATGTATCTTTCTCGGGCATGAGAAAGAGGTTAACGGATACAATTTGTGGGATCTAGGTTGAGCTTGCTGATTCAGATAAAGAGAACATTGAGGTAGTATCTCAGTCTAAACAGGAGCAGCAAAATATAGCTACAGATAGACCCATGAGGAGCATCAAACCACCAATCAAGTTTGGATTCAAGAATCTTGTTTGTTATGCATTAATCACTAGTTGTAGGGATCCTTCAACTTTTCAGGAGGCTATTAATAGTCC